CGCGGTAACCGCAAAAATGAAATATCGCAATATGAAGAAACCCACCGCGCTGCATCATGGGCCACCGCGATTACTGAACTTGGTTCAACTCAATGATGCATGTTGAGAAGGATGGCTGCACTGGTATCAAAACGAAACGTTACTTCGCTCCTTTGGGAGCACTTTGGTTTTCAGTACGTCAGCTGCTGCGCAGCCAGAGTCCTTGGCCGAGACAGAGCTGCCACCAGCGGCAAAAAAATAATAATAAACGCTCTGAGACCTGCTGAAGTCCCGGACAAGCACTGCTTCTGCAACCGTCCTGAAGAGAGTTTGAGCCGAGCTGGAGCTCACTCGCTACCTGCAGGAGGAATGCATCCACCCTAAAGAAACCCCCCTGACATGGTGGAGCAACAACCGGGAGAGATTCTCTTTGCTCGCCAGAGTCGCACGCAAGTACGTGTGCGTTAGTGCAACGAGCGCACCATCCGAGAGGGTTTTCAGTGTTGCTGGAAATGTTGCCACCCCTCTCAGATCCTCTCTCAAACCGTATATAGTTATCATGCTGGTTTTCCTTGTAGGTAACAAGGACGTGACCGAGCTATAAATCACCGTCATTCGTGTGTGTGAAAGTGAAATGACAGTGTGCCCGCCCCCCGGCGTGCGCGCGCCCGGTACTTGTAGTTTTTTATGCTTGATTTTAAACAACTAAATAAAATGGGGACTTGTTTCTTATTAGTTAGATGCTGCAGCCAAATTTGCATTTAAAAGTTTAACCTTCTCCTGAATTTTGTTGTTTTTAAGTTCAGTCGGACTCCGACTGTAGGAGAAACAAACGTTACTGCGATCTGTGTTGTTACTGCCCTTTGATCTGCATTCAGTAAAGTGTTATAAAAGAAGGCATGGCAATTTTTAACCTTTTTAAATGTGTAAACATTATGTTTAGATAGTACTGCAATAAAAAAAGGGCTGCAATAATATCGCACACTGCAATATTAAGCCACCCTGAATCACCGCAGGAGGAATTCCTCAACTGCGACAGCCCTACTCTGCACAGAGTACACTATACCTTGCCTGCTGGTGGTGGTCGGAGGGACCGGTGGTGCCTGTACAGCAGCCTCACCTCTGTCTATGTGTCTCAAGGCAGTTGTGGCTACATTGTAGCTCATCACCACCAGGGTGTGAATGACATGTGTTGTAAACCACATTGGAGGGTTCTAGGACTCTAGAAGGCGCTGTATTAAATACAGGCCATTTAAGCTCAGCCCTGCTGCTTTCTACAGTCTGGCCATGCACTGGAAGCTTTACTGTGTGCTTCTGCCATGTGCACTTCCCAAAAGCCCGTAGGGCATAGTTGGGATCTGGCCCTAGACCTATGCTACTGGCATGCACGCTGAAACCCTCCAGTACAAATAGGAGATCATTAAACTTCTCAACGTTCAATTCATTTCAAGATTATTTATAAAGTGCCAAATCAGGACCAGAGTCGTCTCACGGACCTTCACACAGTAAACTTTCCAATACAGGTCAGTTCATTAAGCCAATCAGTAAAAGGCTTCCTATGAGTAACCCAGTAGGTTGCATCGAGTCACTGGCTACACTCTGTTGTATGTTACTGACTTGCCAGATAATTTCACAGATATGAATATAAATTTCCTCCTGGGAAAATACCACATCCATTGCAATTAATAAAGGGACCCCACCCCGTTTTAAGGTTTTTTACTGTACACTAAAATTAAAAAATACATTGTAGTGTTTCCAAATATCTTACGTTTGAATGCTCCTTTTGTGCCGCTCACCAATGCCTTTCTCAAAACCATTTTTGATGTTCTCTCTGTTTCTTGTTATAATCACTGTCATGATTGTTGTCCTGCTTTTTCACCCAATCTAGATTTTGTATTTGTGGTTGCAAAATATTAAACAATAAGTTAGGTGAAAGGCTCACTGAAACACAAACAGATGACCACAGAAAAGAAAAAAACATGAAGCCAAATGAAAACTTTAGGGCAGAACGCGGACCTGGGGATTTTATCAATCTAGAAAAATACTTTCCAGAGCAGAGTAAGCTAGCGGCTAGCGATAGCTGCGCCTGTCTAATCTTTATACAATTTCAAAGACATAAATGATTTAAATGACTTTTTACCTGGCTCACGTGTTTGCACAGGGTCCTGTCGCCCACAGCCAGCCACCAGAACTTCTTTGTTGCTGTCCAAAATTCGTTTGATATCCATTTTCTGAATGCTTGAATTAACAGACCACAGCTTTGAGCCGAGATGGCTAATTTACCCGCCTTTGTCCTACTGCTCTGATTGGTCATCCCGCCGTGCCTGCGTTGCATTCACTAAACCCAGGAAATTACACAACTACGTTCTCCAATAATGTCCTGGGCGCGAAAAAAGTTTGGGCTACATGCTTAATGTTCGGGATTACAACAGGTGTCTCCCAATGTAGTTTCCCCTTCGTTGGACACTGGTGTTACGTCGATTTGAGTTCCCCCCCCCTCTCACAAAAAATAACCCTCACCCTGACGCCTACGCAAACCATAACCACTCAATCACCCAACATGTATGTTTTTGCACAATTATAATTTATGAAAGTACTCAGCGAGGGACGAGTTTTATGTTTGTTATGGGGTTATGGTTAGGACACACATTTTTAGCTGGTTGGAGCCGAAACGGCTCTCGAGGGGGGTAACTCAATTTGACATAACACCTATAAGCGCTCCCGATGCAAGGGAAACAAATTGTGGTGGGGATAACTGCTTTGGCACAAATTGTGGCGGGGATAACTGCTTTGGCACGACACCGGGATTGCCCATGCCACTGATCACAAAATGCTTTAGGAAGTGTAAGCTGCTAATCCTCTGACTCTGAAAGGCACTATACATGTGTGGGTCATTCATTCATCTGCTCTATGTCTACCACAAGACATCTTTGGTAGAAGTTTTACTTTTTTGAGGGGGAATGGCGGAGCTGTTGATGGAGTTTAAGGTCAAGTTTAAAGGCAGTGGCTTGTGGTCTCCGTCATTTTCAATAGTTAGAAAATTGGGCATTTCTCTGTCTGTCCTTGCAAGCCTGTTGAGAGTCCTTCCATCGGATAATGGCTTGTGTGTCTCCGCACCTCTACAGACAGAGAAGCATAAACTAGGTTTAACTCGTGCTGACTGGGTGTTACTCAGTTGAATATTGGCAGAAGTCACCAAACAACCAGAATTTGTAAAAAGCACAACAGAAGGAAAATAAACAGCATTTATGCGAAATGTGCCAGAAATCCCACCACAACTCAGCAAATCTTCCCATCACCATCCCTCTTCCCAGATATTTCCTAGACCTCCTGTAGTGGAACACACAGCTACATTTCATCCTCCCAAGACTTTTTGCCCCGCCTTTGCCCCCATGTAAACGTTTCTAGAGCCACCTCTGTTTAAAACAGATGGCCAGACTTTAAGATGAAAACCAAAATCAAGTTACAAATCGACACAGCACAAAGGGGGAGGCGACGGAGGCACAGGAGCTAAGTGCTCTCCCCGTAATCGGTAGGTTGCAGGTTTGAGCCCTGCTCAGTCTGTTGCATCCTTGGGCAAGGCACTTAACCCACCTTGCCTGCTGCTGGTGGTTTGAGGGACCAGTGGCGCCTGTGTACACCCCTGTCAGCGTGCCCCAAGCCAGCTGTGGCTATAATGTAGCTCATCACCACCAGGTGAATGCTTGTGCTAATGGGTAAATTACCTTGGGGGAGGGGGAGGGGGGGTTCCCAGGACTCTAGAAGGTGCTACATCAAATTCCATAGTGTATCCTAACACTGGGAGATTGGAGTTCGTATCCTGGTCGAGTCATACCAGACTTTGAAAATGGAGGCCAACGCCTCCCTGCCTGACACTCGCATTAAGGGGTTGGATTAGAGGATTAAACCCCCAAAGTTTCCGAGCGCAGCCACTGCTGCAGCTCACTGCTCCTCACTGTGATGATTCAAATGCAGAGATGTACTTTCACCAGTGTGTCATGAGTAATGGGACTTTAACTGTTAGAAGGTATCACCGTGTCAACAACCTGCCAAAAATACTAAATCTATCATTTAAAGAATTGGACACCATGCAGCATCTCTCAAAAGGCTGCAAATAGACCCCGGGCCGCACTTTGGACATTTTAAATATATATGGAGAGTTCATTTGCAAACAGATAACTCTTTTTTTATAAACTTCCTAAAATATTTTAGTCATTTAGTTTTGTTTTTTTGTGTTAAATTTTCAACTTTTAACAAAGAAACTTCTACATTGTGTCTAGAACCACAGTGCCCTCAACAGGCCAAGCAGTGAAACTGTCAGCTGAGTCTTCATCAAGTCAAACTTTAATTTAAATTTAACAAATTCTGACCAAATAATGTTGAACCCCCCCACCCACCCACCGAACCAAATCCTCTAAAGGAACACATTTTAACTTCGTAAGACGAAGGAGAAACGCAGCGTGGAGCAGATGAGAAGCAGACAAAAGAATAATCAGGAGAATCCTGCTCTGCTGCTTTAAAATAAACCTTCCTAAGTTTGACTCAGGATCATTATGACTTTAACAGGCAGGTGGGTCCATCTTTTGCAGTAAAACAGCTGATCGATCGCACACACACACACACACACACACACACACACACACACACGCACCTAAACAAGGTGCTAAATCACATCTGATGAAACACGTTAATAAATTAGTTAACTGTTAGTTTTCTCCGCCCTGCTGTTACACCCAATCATTTGAAAGAAAACAAAATCACCTTCAGACACAGAAATCAAAAACATTTCCTGAGCTAATAAAAAAAAAAAGCCAACATCACCACACCGGAGACCGCGTAAGCGGAGCGTGTTACAAAACCTTAATGTGACACAAAAGCTGTTATAAACCCGTCTTCGGCTGACTTAAGCCACACGAGTTACAGAACTTTGTGTTTTTGGTGATTTCACGGGGGTCAGATCAGTTTAAACCCAAAAACACGAGGTCACAAGTGAAATGTGGAGTCTTTGATCTGGTTTGTTAAGACTTCTCATAAAAAAATTCATCTTTAAACTGATCTGATTAGACTGAATCGAACCTACTGTGTGGTACTAACAGCTGACATCAAAGGCATGGAAGTGCTTTGAAAATACACAAGCCAGAGTTTTAAGTTGACCTAGATTAATTACAAATGTAGAAAAATGGCTCAGTGACAATTACAGACGACTTGAGAAATAAATCAGTTTTCAGTCCAGTGAACCTGGATCCCTGATGAGGTCGTAATGCACGTCGAGTGGTTCGAACTCGCTTCTGAACACACCGTGACAGGCTGAACAGGTCACTGGCAAACGAAGCACGAGAGCAAAACGCCGATGAGGTGTTGGTCGCTGCTCTCTGAGCCCGACGTCACGCTGATTTGTTGGATCTGGTGTAGGAAGACGTGAGGTGAGGGGCGCCTCATGTACGCCGGGCTTTCTGCCTCTTGGCCTGACGCTTGGCCTCCTCCACAGCGGCGCTGTCGGTGCTGGACTGGGACATGCTTCGTACTCCCTGGATGCGACTGACCAGCTGTAGCAGCAGGGGAATCACCTGCAAAGGAGGCATAGTAAAAAAGGAGAATGCTGTAAAAAGTGGAATAAAAAACTGATTTCAGAAAGAGTTGATAAATGACCCACGTTTGTACAGCACCATTCAGAGTCGGCGGACTCCGAAGCACTTTAGGGTTTTGTCATTGGATACAAGACAGAACAGGAAACTTTGTTGAGGCTCACAATGACTCAGGAGCCCTGACAGACGGCCAAACACAACGTCGTGATACAGCCCTACAATGGACAGCCTGGTTTGCCCCGCCCACTCGGCCTGGACATCTGCATTAAATGAGCTGCTTGCTGACTGGCATCAAATGTCCCACAACTTCAGTAACTTTTAAAACAAAACTGAAAACTTTCATGTATTCATCAGCCTTTAAATAAATCCTTCTGCAGTGTAACTGCTCTCGCTTGAACTTTGTCTTTTTAGTTTATGTCTTACATCTAATTTTACTTGTGTATTTCAATTTTATTTTATAATCTGGTGTTTTATGCTGTCATGTTGCTCCTGTCTTTCTGCAAGGAGTTTGCCTGTCCCCCCCCGTGCATGCGTGGGTTTTCTCCCACAGTCCAAGAATAAGACTGTCAGGTGAATTGGTCTGTCTAAATTATCCTTAGGTGTGTGTGTGTGTGTGTGTGTGTGTGTGTGTGTGTGTGTGTGTGTGTGTGTGTGTGTGGTTGTTAGTCCTGTGTTGGCCCTGCGACGGACTGGCGACCTGTCCAGGGTGCATCCCACCTGTCTGCCGTTGACTGCTGGAGAGAGACACCAGCCCCCCTGTGACCCTGCATGGACAAAGTCAAAGTCCCATTAGTTGTCACACACACTGATGTGTGTGCGAAATTTGTTCTCCGCATTTGACCCATCCCCTGGGGGAGCGGTGAGCTGCAGACACAGCCGCGCTCGGGAACCATTTGGTGGTTTAACCCCCCAATCCAACCCCTTAATGCTGAGTGTCAAGCAGGGAGGCATTGGGTCCCATTTTTTTCAAAGTCTTTGGTATGACCCGACCAGGAATCGAACCCCTGATCTCCCAGTCTCAGGGCAGACACTCTACCACTAGGCCACTGAGAAAGGGTTCAGTTAATGGATGGAAGGATGTTCTTGCCCCTAGAAAGAACATTGAATTGCTTCTGTGTGTGAAATGTGTCAACCTGGAACTTGAGGGGAGCTCCAAGATTCTTCTGTGTTGTTTCCCTCTTATCCAACTAAGATGTTAGCATAAGCTCAGGCTAGAGTTAGCTGTAGCTTAGGATAGCAGTAGCTCAGCTAACATCAATTGTTGCTCGGGCTAGTGTTATCAGTAGCTCGAGCTAGAGGTGGCAGTTTCTCAGATTAGCGTTAGCTGTGGTTCAAGCTAGCATTAGCAATAGCTCAGGCTAGCTCAGAACAGTGTTAGCTATAACTCGGGCCATCCTTAGCTGTAGCTGAGGCTCGAGCTAGCATTGTTACAAAGACCATCATTTATATGTTGTGGATGTTTAGGTGAGTTGGGACATGCTAATTTAAGGGTGTGTGTGTGTGTGTGTGTGTGTGTGTGTGTGTGTGTGTGTGTGTCTAAAGCAGAGCTATTCATCTCCGAGCCTGGAGGGCCGGTATCCAGCAGGTTTTAGTGGTTTCTCTGCTCCAACACACTAAATTCAGTGGTTGAACACCTGCAGCAGCTCATCAGGCTCTGCAGAAGCTGTGAATCACCTGCTGATTGAAATCAGGCGTGTTGAAGCAGGTTAAAACCAAAACATGCCGGACACAACTCAAGAGCCCCGGTCTAAGGTGATGATGTGTCTCCATGCTGCCTTCATTCAACAACAAGGTAAATGTGGTTTTAAACTCTAGGACCTCGTAAGTTTCACCGTGCAGAGTTGTTTTTATTATAAGGATTTAAAATTTTAAAGGGTGTACCTTCTCGTGGTTGTACCCCGCTAACAACAGGAGCAAAGTGAGAGGCAGAGCGATGTAGGAGCCCTGCGCCACATCCTGGTCAGGCACCTTACGCTGCGGAAAAAACACACGAAGGTGACTCATCTTTAAATGAGGCGAACCGAAACCGAAAAAGGAAAGCTGTGTTTTCAGAAAGCACAATAAGTTTAGAAAATCCGGTGTGCAGCTCACGGTGGGTTTGAAGGTGAGGGTGACGTGTTTGTGGTAGCCGCTAGAGGTGAAGGACACCTGGGGCAGAGTGTAGTCGAACTGGGAGCGGGACAGGGTGGAGTACAGCATCAGGACGTAGCTCTGGAGAACACAGGAAGGCATGACTCTAGATACAAGAACAACCACTTCTGGATCTAATGAACAAAACCAACAGTAAAGTGGGTCAGTACCTCTCCGTCCCGGTCCAGAGGAGGGAAGTGGAAAAAAAGCGACTGTCCCAGAGAAACGCTGTTGATGGGATTGTCCAGATTGTCGCTCCTGTAGAGCTTCACCTGGAAACAAGAAGATAATCAGCAGCAGCCTAACTTACCTGCTGCTGCAACTCGGTAAAACCACGTGAACGGGTCATACCGATAGTGTTGGGAGGTGTTCGGCAGACGTGATGATGTTCCCGCTGAGGTCGAAATGATTGATCTGCCTGCAGGCGATGATGTTGACCCCTTCGATGTCGCTGCTGCTGACCTGCCAGAGGCGAGTCAAGAGTTTAATGTAGGAAGACCCGAAGCTGATCACAAGAGTCAGAAAGCCTCTTGTTACAGTCACACGGGGAGACGGTAACAGGGAATTAAGGGGAATTAAAGCTTTTCCAGCCTTGCGAGAGAGATTAGGTCGACTGCAGTTTTCAAACCCACTCAAATTATGAAGCGAGAGGGTTGATTGGTGTGTGTGTCAGAGATTATGGCTGCTTTTGTTCTTTATTATTGTGATCAGGGTGATATAAGTCATAATAACAGGGTTCTCAGTTATTTCAATCATTCCATCACACAACCTTTCCGCAGACGTCTCAACCTTTTTATAAAGGTTTTATAACGAACAAATAAAAGGATATAAAGCTGAGGTCACCTAGAAACCCAGAGCGCTGTAGGTGAAAACAACCCAAACATGGGTGAGTTTAGCTGCTGCTAGCCTAGCATCATGTGGTTAGGGTTGGGGTCATCCTAACCAGTCGAATTCTGGTAAAACTTTGATCATGTGTGGTTTCTTAATCAGCAGCATGAGAAATAACAGGGTATCTGCAGGTTTAAGGGAGCCAAATTTAAGACTTTTTAAGACCTTTTTAAGGCCATTTTGACCAAATTTAAGCAATTTTTTAAAATTAAATTTAAGCTATAATTTCCAGCTATTGCCTGGAACGTCGCAAACGTGGGATTAGCCATCCAGTTACCATTAAACTTGCACTTCCCCATGGCGCAAGCTCCCACTAGCTTAACCAGCTAATGCGCTCATCTAAAAACAGCCCCCTTTCACAACCAACTGAGTGTGTACGGTTCCGCTTACGGCAACATCGTACACAAAAAAAGCTGAACACCAACTAGAAATTTATGAAAATTTTATAGAAATAAAAGAATCTTGTTTATTGGGTCTTTAGTCATTTAAGACCTTTGGAAACTGTATTTAAGGATTATTTGTCATTTCTAAGGATTTTTAAGGCCTTAAATTTGGAAAAGCAAATTTAAGACTTTTCAAGACTTTTTAAGGACCCGCGGATACCCTGAATAATGAGTTTTCTGCACAATGCATCAATAAACGGTTATTACAAAGGAGTGATAGAGCTGCAATAAACAAGAATATTACAGTCCTCCTGTTCTCGATGCTCTTAGCCGGAAAGCCTCGTTAGCATCGTGATGACATATAAAGAATAAGAAATGTGGGTTTGACACAAATTGTGGTTTTTCTAATATTTTTGCAGCTCCAGTTTTAGGATGACTTATTCCGTTCTTTAAGTTCCAGACGAGGCCCCCGAACCGCAACTAACGAGTTTAACGAACAAGCAGCGGTCACAACCTCGGGTGCATTTGTCACAAACAACATGTGGGACGAGCGTCTTCGGCTTTCCACCTACCTCTATAGCTCTGTGTTGAGGCAGAGCCCGCTCAATGTGGTCGTTTCCTTCGGCTCGCAGCTGAATCAGATATTTGCAACCAGGCTGCAGCAGACAAAACATCCAAGAACGTATTAAAGAAAAATACAGGATTTATTCACTGTCCCACCATCGCTCAGGAATGAGAAGACCCCCCCCCCCCCCCCCCATACATGCTTATAAAAGACTGCTTTATAAAAGGTGTAGTGGATAAATAATAATAATAATAATAATGCATTGAACTTATATAGCGCTTTTCTAGACACCCAAAGACGCTTTCACACACTCTCACATTCACACACTGCTAGTGATGGTAAGCTACTCGTAGCCACAGCCGCCCTGGGGAGGTCTGACAGAGGCGAGGCTGCCATTTGGCGCCGTCGGCCCCTCTGACCACCACTAACACAGGCAAGTTGGGTGAAGTGTCTTGCCCAAGGACACGACAGCAGGATACCCCTGGCGGGAGCTGGAATCGAACCCATGACCCTCCGATCATGAGGCAACCCGCTCTACCACCTGAGCTACTGCTGCTCCTACATTTATCTTTTTAAATACTTACTTTTGTTTTTATGTGACCCCTTAGCTCCCCCCTTATTTGAACCCTGGAAGGGCCCTCCCTGCAGCTCCCAGATCAGTTTTAGTCACAAGTCTCCGTTTTCTTTAAATGCTGCAGAACCATGTTGGAGTGTTTCGGTTCACGGGTCCGATGAAACTCCACATATTTATGTTTTCATTAGCTTTACTGCTGACGCTGCAGACACTAAACTAACCACACTCCTCCTTTGCGGTTCTTTCCAGTAAAATCCTTTCACTGCTTGCTGAGTTACATGATCTGGTGGTTTTCCTCTGAGACATTTTAACAGATGCCAAAAACCTGAACAGTTAAGTACATTCAGACCGAATTGAACGACTACACTTGCTGTTTTTGCTTTTCAGCTTCCGGTTGGTAACAAGATGGCGCCTGTGCTTGGCTTAGCCGCGGTCACCGGCCACTTTTTCAAACTTTTCTCCACTAACCTTCTCTTTTCCACCTTGCTCCTGTCTGCGATCCTCTTCTGTAGTGTCCCTGCTACCATCTCCTATGATCACCAGACTCTTTTGTGCTTCCGTTCGTTCACGATCACCCAAGATGCACCGGAGGACATACCTCCCTGTTTATCTGAGTGGCGCACTGGCCCGGAGCCAAAAGACGATTCCAACCAGGGCGCCTCCAGCAATGTTTATCCGGTCCCGGGAAAACGTTGGAGGAAAAGAGGTCAACGAGCAGGAATCCAGGTGAGAATAAGGCTTCTCTTAAAGCGTGGTTTATCTAGTAAACATCGGCGCGATCTTCTTGCTTCTTGTCCTTTGTTTGGCAACTTGAGCGCCACTTCCGCATTCCTGCCAGGCCGCGTTGCGACGCGGTTCATCCGTCCAAGTTTTTTAAGGTCGGTTTATCCTCATTCCTCAGTGGTTTCTCCTCCTGTTCCCTCCATTAGTGGTTTTTATAAACACTGTGGATCTAACCCTGCTAATTTACGTCCACTAACTCCAGCTGTTTCTGTAGTTTCTGATTCCTCCACCTCACTCAGCATGGCTCCATTAAATACCTGCTCTGTTAACAATAAGTCCTTCCTGCTTAATGATCTAATTCTCTCTAAAAACCTGGATTTTCTGTTTCTGACTGAAGTTTGGCAGCAAACATCTGATTATTCTGGTCTGATTGAACTCTGCCCGAGTGGTTATTCTTTTCTTAGCCAGCCCCGGGGTTCTGGTCGTGGTGGAGGCCTAGCTGTTGTTTTCAGAGAACATCTTCCATGTGGCTCTACAACCTCTGGTCACTTTGCTTCCTATGAACTGCAGCTGATTAAAGTTGGGCGTAAGGACCCGTTCTACTGTGCTGTGGTCTATTGTCCACCTGGTCCAAACAGTTCTTTCTTTCAGGAGTTTAGTGACTTCTATCCTCCACTGAGATGCTGTCCAGACTGGTGACTGTTGGTGACTTTAACATCCACGTTAATGATCCCTCCGATCTCTTTGCCATGAATTTCTCCAGCCTTATGGACTCCTTTGGCTTTACCCAGCATGTTTCTGGCCCCACACACACCAGGGGGCACACTCTAGACCTAGTTTTTACCCTGAGTCTAAATGCTGACAGTGTTTGTCCTGAGGGCGTCTATATTTCAGATCACCATTGCATTTTCTTGAACTTGTCAGTTTCTGCGTCCCCACCTCCTGCTCGCCGTATGGTTAGTTCTCGTTTTCTTAATGAGAGCACAGCTAGCAATTTTTCTGCTGCTTTTGATCCACCCTGTTCTTCTGATAACGACCCAGATTCCTTAACTTCTCAGTTTAACGAGCACTGCCTCTCCATTCTGGACAACATCTGTCCTGTCAGAACCAGATCAGGTCCTGCAGTGAACCCTACTCCCTGGTTTAATGACAGCCTTCGCAGCCTGAAGCGCCAATGCAGGAAAATTGAGCGTTTGTGGAAGAAAACCCATCTCCACGTCCATCTGCTGCACCTAAAGGATCTTCTGTCATCCTTTAACCCTGCAGTCAGAGACGCCAGGGTTTCCTATTTCTTCAACCTGGTGTCACAGAGCAAAGGGAACCCCAAGGTGCTGTTTAACACCATCAGCAGCATCGTCTCTCCTGCCTCTCCTACATCCTCCATCCACTCTGTTGCAGACTGTGAGAACTTTCTGTCTTTCTTTGTGGACAAAGTCAATAAGGTTAGATCTAGCATCTCTCCTTCAGCCTTATCGTTGCCTCTCCCGACTCCAACCAGGCCCATCATCCTGGATAGCTTTGCTCCTGTTTCTTTGCCTGAGTTAACCAAACTAGTTAACTCTATGAAGACCTCTGCATGCCCCCTCCACATCTTACCCTCATCTTTGTTTAAAAGTGCTTTTCAGTCCATCGGTCCCAGCGTGTTCTCTATAATTAATGCTTCTCTGGTTTCTGGTCAGGTCCCTGCTTACTTTAAGAACGCTGTAATCCACCCGCTTCTTAAAAAACCGAGTCTCGACCCCTATCTCCATAGCAGCTTCAGACCCATCTCTAAACTTCCGTTCATCTCCAAGATCTTGGAAAAGGTTGTGGCTAAACAACACACAGCTGCTCTTGATGAACAGAACATCTATGATAGCTTCCAGTCAGGTTTTCGTAGAGCTCATTCTACTGAAACAGCTCTTCTTAGGGTCTCTAATGACCTTCTGACTCACAGTGATGCAGGGGACCATTCTGTTCTGGTCCTGCTGGACCTGACTGCAGCCTTTGACACTGTTGACCATCACCTGCTACTGGAGAGGCTGAGAGACTGGGTAGGCCTATCAGGATCTGCTCTGGAGTGGTTCTCCTCTTATCTGTCTGAGCACTCCTTTTCTGTGGCCGTCTCCAAGTTTTGGTCCTCCACCACCTCCCTTACCCACGGTGTCCCACAAGGTTCTGTGCTGGGGCCTCTGCTCTTCCTCCTCTATCTGCTTCCTCTTCAGCACATCCTGAGCTCCTTCAAAGGAATCTCCTACCATCTTTATGCAGATGACATCCAACTGTACATCTCCTTTAAGCCCCATGAGACGTCTAAGCTGCAGCTGTTACACACCTGCTTGGACTCTATCAAAACCTGGATGGCTGGGAGCTTTCTTCAGCTGAATGAAGATAAGACTGAGATCCTCATCTGTGTCCCAGACAAGCTGGTTCCCAAAGTCAGAGACTCTCTTGGTCAGCTTGCTTCTCACACCAAACCTTCCATCAGGAATCTTGGTGTGACCTTTGACCCAGCACTCACCCTGGATTCTCATGTCAGTTCTCTTGTTGGCTCTTCCTTCTTCCATCTCAGGAACATTGATAAGCTGAGTCCCATTCTGTCCCGCTCTGAACTTGAGACAGTTCTCCACACCTTCATCTCCTCACGCTTAGACTACTGTAACTCTCTTTTCACGTGTCTGAGCAGAACCTCCCTGAACCGTCTACAGGTGGTTCAGAATGCCTGTGCTCGGCTTCTGACCAAGTCCTCCAAACACACCCACATCACCCCGCTTCTCCTCCAGCTTCACTGGCTGCCAGTCAACTTCAGGGTTCATTTCAAGATCCTGGTTCTGGTCTATAGGGCCTTACATGGACAAGCACCATCTTACATTGGTGATCTTCTTAGTCTCTACACCCCCAGCAGGTCCCTGAGGTCCAGTGACCAAAGCCTACTGGTTGTGCAGCACCAGGCTAAAGGTCAAAGGTGACAGATCATCTGCTGCTGTGGCCCCTAGACTCTGGAACTCTCTCCCCCTGAGCCTGAGATCAGTGGACTCAGTGGTCTCCTTCAAAAAGCAGCTGAAGACTCACTTGTTCAAGCTGGCTTTTGTATGACCTTCTTCAACACTCTCTCTTTATTCTGCTCTCCCCACTATTACACCTTCCTCAGGATCCACTGATTTCCCTCTTTCCTGTTCACTCTCTCTCTTTCTTAACATTTTTGATCACAATTGTCTATTTTTTGCTCATTTTAAATATATTTTTAACCATTTTCTAAATTCTTTTTTATATTTTTACATTTTTTGTTTTTGTGAAGCCCCTCGTGATTTTTATCTTGAGAGGCGCTGTAGAAATGATATTTTCTTCTTCTTCTTTTTGAGAGGTTGAATCGTTCTACACACTATCACTTAAAACAATCCAGGTGTGGAGCAGCGTCTCACCAGCAGACCCCTGAGTCTGAATCGACCCTCCTCATCAGTGACGGTGTCCTCGCTGTAGAGGCTGCAGTCTCCCTGACCCACCGCCTCCACTGCCACGTCCCTCTCTGCATCGCCGCTCAGGGACTGAACCGTCCCGTAGCAACTGAGGACAAAAGTACAAAATCACGAAAAAGAAAAATGTCTACTTCAGGTCTGAGTTCCTGTTAAACCAAAGCGCAGAAAGAAGGTGTGTGTTTGTGTGTGTGTGTGTACCTGTACGCAGTCTTTACACCTGTGATATCGATGTTGAGGTTCTGACCCTCCTCCACTGTGATCATCTGAGATGCCGGTTCGAAGCGGAACTCCTTCATCATCGGTTTGAAGTAGTACTGACCAGGACTCTGGACGGGACCGTCAAGGTTATTTCTGGTGTGGACTGGGAAGATTTGAATTGTTTCCGGGATGTTTCCTTACCAGGTTGTTGAAGGTGAGAACACCGGTGTCCTGAGTCAAAAGGTTGGACCGGAAATTCCCTCCACTCAGAGACAACAGGACCCCTGATAACGGCTGTCCATCCTCTGATTTGATCTAAAAAAGGAAATATTTGCATTTGAATCTCAAACTGTCGCAGAAACAAAACCTTAAAGGTGCAGTGGATGATGTCTTTGAGGCATTTTAGCCGTTTGCTTGAAATGCTTTTTACATACTGATGGAAACCAATAAATTACCGGTAAATGTTTTGATAAAAACAATTATTTTAATGGCTTTTGAAACATACAATCCTGGAAAAACTTGATCCAACCATTGTGATTGGACCAAGACCCATCCACCATTACGTAGCCCGAGTGGGAGTAGCCAGTGGGGTTTCCAGTGGAATAAATGGCCTGTATGTGATATAGCTCCTTCTAGTCCTGGAACCCCCAAGGTGCTTTACAACACAGTCATTCACACGCTGGTGGTGATGAGCTACGACGTAGCCACAGCTGCCCTGGGGCGCTCTGACACAGGCGCCACCGGTCCCTATGACCACCACCAGCAGACAGAGGCGGATTTAGCAATTTGGGGGCCCAAGGCGAACATAGACACGGGGCCCCTTACACTAAATTTTCGACAATCTTACCTTTAACTGGATTTGCGAAACTCTCCCCTCTTCTGACACGAGTTATTTCCCCTTTTTATTAGTCCTCCTCTTTTTTCTCTCCCTTTGAGCGCTTTCTTTTTCCTGTCAGCGCTCCTGTGCTTTAGCCTTCGTTATTTTTTTTTATTTTTTCTATTTTGGTCCATGTTTTCCTCCCTTTAATCATTTTCCATTGTCTTTCCTTTCTGCTTCCTTTTGATGTTTACATCGAAAAACGACGTCACTTTCAGAAGTAAAAATAAAAGCTTTTATGAAGCATGCTGCTTCTTTCTCTTGTTGAGCCACTAGGATAACTCAATTTCATGCTTCATGTTTTGACTATCGCTTCAAGTTTGTTACGAACGCTCCCGCCTCTCTTCTTCTTATTATTTGTGGTCTTATGGCACTTGGCAAACAACAATTTGGTGCATTACCGCCACCAACTGGATTGGAGTGGAATGACTACCAATCACTTCCTGTTTGTGCATCGCCATCTTAATAACCCTCTTATGACCATAATTATAACAGGGCTGCCTGGTATTTTTTAATCTTATGGCTGTAAAATTGTAATAAAAAGCACAAAGTGTGTGTAACTCTTCTCCTTTTTTCAGAACAACCTCAGCTTTCAGTGAATGGTTTGTATTTAGAATTTATTTCTATTAAAGCCTTTAAAAAATCAGCTTAAAAGTGAAAAAAGCAAAAAACTGATTAGAATTTTTTACATTTATTACTGAACAGGAACTTCAAAATTTCTGGGCAAACAATTTAAACTTTGTAATGCATCTATTCTTAAAAAAGTGTGAACCTTGGTATCTTTTTTAGCAGTTTTTAAGACCATTTATTTTTGTAAACTTTCAGACGTTTTTATTTGATGTGGTGGTCCTTGAAGCAGTTTCTCTCCAGCTGCAGGCAGAGTCCTCACACCTCACACCGCCATGGGGTGCTTCTCTGGCACACCGTGCACTGCTATACCAAAAACTTTTATTTTAGCAAAAATAATTTATTGTAAAAAGATAAATAATGCTGGAATGAAGCTGAATCTTACAATTAGCAAATAGTTGAGGGTTGTTCAAATAAAACAATAAAACATAAAGACTGAACAAACGTTCATACCCTGGTTCACTGGAGATCTGTCCTTCGTGGTCACTGTCTTCAGATATAAGCCTTCTGGGACACCTAATAGATCGTGTTGATTTTCTTTGAGGCATTTCTATAATTTCATGCCGGCGTTTTATGCTAATTAGCTTCCCCGTTCCGTTATCCGCTTTCACCGCGGCGCTGTGCTCCGTTTCAATCAGGCTGTACAGCAGGATTTACATAACTCTGATTGCTTCATGCTATAGATCGTTGGAAAGCTGCTTTTATGTACTTTTAGGAACCGTTGGAATTTTTTGAATCTGATCAGTCATTCAAAAGTTATAAAATGAAGCATTTTGGATGACAAACTCAGCACGTCTCTGAATCCGTGTTGTGATTCGTTGCGCTCAAGACAGGGAATCCCGGCGACTACCGTAATGTATTGTATATGCGCGAAAAGCCCCATTTTTAATCTTTTCAGCACTTTTGGAATTTTAATGATATCTTGAATGGTTCAGGAATTATGGTAATGAGAAGTGCGCATGTCCAATCCCGTCTGCGGCGACAGGTTGGTAATAAGAATATTGTGGCATTAACAGAGGGGTGCCGGCGGTCAAGGCTAGGGGGCCCCCCAACACAAGGGGGCCCCAGGCGGCCACCGACCTATGCCTAATGGTAAAACCGCAACTGCCAGCAGGCAAGGTGGGTTAAGTGTCTTGCCCAAGGACACAACGAAAGCAACAGACTTGAGCGGAGCTCGAACCTGCAACCTTCTGATTACGGGGCGTCGCCCCGGTCCTCCCTGCTGGATCGCAGATCCCCGGTGTCTTCAGCCTCTTAAAGGTGTGGAACACTCATTTAACGAACTCATCTGCAGCGGTCACAATGAATGCCTTGTGAGTCGTTCTCTTGGGGAAACAAAGCTCTGGTGAACAATTTTCTTGAACTAGAAGTGAGCCACATCAGAGCTGAGCTTCAGACCACAGGATCTGGAGTCTTACTTCCTGATATGTGGACATCTCTCCTCTGATTGGCTAGCAGCAACACGACTCTATCACTGACTCTCGTTGTTCTGCAACGTTGATGTTTTATCTCCACCAATAACACAAGCCTGGGGGAGTTCTGCTGTTTGGTGGAGTTGCTAATGCTAACAGTTAGCTTCTACTAGCTGAGACGTTCTCTGCTGTTTCCTGGACGCTAAACCAACAACAGCCTTCCCCGTCGTGAGTCCAGATGGGTGAGGTCATAAATGTTAGTGACAGTGTGACGTAGATCTGTCAGGATTTTCTATCCTAGAGTTTCATTGTCTGTTTTCTATTAGAAGCTAATGCAGGAGACAGGTGTAGGAGACTATTTTCATGTTCAGCCTGCATGAAACACTCAGAGTGACCCTTTAAAATCAGAAATAATCATTAAAAATGTTTTTTTTTTAAGCATTCGACAACTTTAAACTTTTTGCTGAGTCAGAAGTCTGGAGGCTCTGCGGCTGTTACGTAGGGGCGTCAGATTAGAGGTCACGACAGAAAAAGTGCAACAACGGATGGAAAAGTTATGATTATTTTACATTTTAATGGTTGTTTGACAGTATCTGGTATAAGGTAGCGCGACTCAGGTTGCGAATGACCACAGTCACCAATTCTGATCTCTGAATTGTGTGTACTGAAACTGTAATTTCCCTCTGGGACAAATAAAGCTTTTCTGATTTCTTTCTGATCTGTTGCTTCTGGGATTCTCCTGAATCCTGAGGTTGGACCTTTGAAATTGCGTTCTGTTTCCAGGATAATCTACCCTACCTTTAAACGTAGAACACCAGCAGGCACTAGACTGTTAAAACTGAGTTTATTCAGGCTGGCAGGTGAGTTTGGTGTCACTAATGTTCTGTTTCAGGGCGGACTTCCATGTGAAGGTCACAGAACTTGGTGTAAAATGGTGTGGAACTGACTTCAAAGCAATTTATCACTTAGTCTGAAAGGGAGACTAATACTAATGTGTGCAAGATGCTCATGGTCACAGTAAGTGGTCACACTGCCTTTTAACGAAGGCGGTACAAAGGCCGACGGCCCGGGGCTCGGACCATCCACCAGTGATCTTTTCGTTTAATTACTTTGCAAAAGCATTCAGCAGAAGGAGCCAACACGCTTTTAATTCCATATTCCCTTTAAACCACGTCGAGTATTAAAGGGCCAGTGATTACTAGGATGAAATGCAGTTTGAATACATGAAAGGCTGATGATCACATGGTTACCTTGAAGGTGACACCAGCCAAAGCAAACGCCTTGAAATCCCCCGGGGCTCCATCAACTGGACTCAGGACAAAACCCTCCCTTTTGGCAGTGATGTCATACTGCCGGTCGCTGTGGAGCGGACCCACGCTGAGAGAGAAAGAAGAAGCTCAATAAATATCTTCACAGTGAATATTTAACTCTGGTCGGAATAGAAAAGCTGGTCTGTCGTGTACCCCTGATATAAAATACAGAAAACATGACAGGAAAGGTGATTAGGTGGGTTTGTGGCACCAAGAGCTTTGAAAAGGAAACAAAAAAAAAAGCCCTTCGCTGCCAGCGTTTGTCAGCGTTTTCACTGTTTTTTTTTAAAGAGTCACAGAACGTTGCGCTCTAGGATGATGTCGACGCCAAAATAACCAAAACAAAGCGCAGACTCACCTCTTACATCAGGAAGAATCTGCGTGTTTCGAGCGTTATCCGTTCTTTCATAATCCGTTGTTGAATTGTGATTGGAAGAAGAATTTCCCATTCGCTCCTGGCAGTTTTTTTACAGCAGTGGCCCAAAACAATCTCCTAACACATGGACTTTCTGCTTCCTGATCATGTGACGTGTGACGTATGCCGACGAAGATCGGCTTTAGAGCTGAGATGTTTGTTCTCACGGTGCGGGGGCTCGTCCGACGCCCACAGTCGTCATTGGCAGTGAACGACAACAACTTTCTAACATAATATAGCTATAAATATATTGTGTAGATAAAAAAAACCATGTGGTGCTGCCGAACTGTCGCGCTTCCCTAGGATGAGCATGTTTTCCGAGCCAAGACTTTAGAAACCGGACACCACTGGTGTGAGAGGATCTCCGCTCAGTAACATCAGAGGAGGAGAAACAGCCGGCTGCTACCACTTCTGCTTAAGGACAAACTACCAGAGTCCCAAAAAGAAAAACACCGTTTAAAGTCACGGACAACTGAAGATGTCAATCTTCAGATCTCAATTCCTCTGGCAATGCGGGTTCTGGTATCAGGGGGCGTGGCCTAGACATGATGGCCAATGGGAGGCATGAGAGTTCTGTGACTGTGTTTAAAAGCTAGCTTGTTCTGAAGATTTACTATTGCAGGTTAGGATTAGGAAGGACGCGTGTCTTCTGAACATCTGCAGTTTCTGGAAAAAAGATTGTCTGAAAAATACAAAGCAACCACCTCCATCAGTCCAGCTATTAGGGATGTAAGAAAAAACGAGTACAAGTGTTCTGGTGCTGAAAGTTGACATTTTTATTTACTGTATCGGAGTAACACTGGATGGTCTCGGAAGCGTCTGGCCCAAATTAAATCGTCTTTAAAATGACTAAATCATTAGATTTTTAGCATCATCTCCCCTATCGTCAGAGTCTCACCAATACCCAGCCCTACCTGTTTGCCAACAGATTACTCGGAGGGGGGGGGGGGGCTTGCTTGTCAACCAAGGCAGTGGAGGACGCAGCCATGAATAAAAACAATGGTACCTAAACATCCTCCAGGAGGAACTCCTCCCCGGAGATCTAAGAACAGTTTGATGTCTTTACCCACGTGTTGGAGCTCTGGGTCAAAAGGTCAGTCGCTAAGTGGCTCAGCGACCAGGAAAGCCTCAAAAATCAGACTAAACAACAGGACGCCATCAGTCAGGATTTGAACCAGAAGCTGACTGACTAAGATTTTGGAGAAGGACAAACACTGACTTTGTGTAACCACCAATAAAAGACAAGAGAAAAATCTAAAAGCAACACTTTTAAATCTGGCCAAACATAAACTCTTGTTTGTTATTTAATCTCAGAAGGCTAACCGGGCAGATTAATATTCTTATCATAAATGTTGCGTCGTTCGCATCACATCAGCGAACAGAAGGACTTATTAGCATGATTGCTGCAGCTCTGACCAGATGCTTCTGATAACGAGCTCCAGTCGGGATTCTGGGTGAATGTTTAACCTTTTCTCTGCAGATTTGGATTAAAAGTGTGGGATTATTGACACAAACACAACTTTTGAATATAATTCACATGTTTTTGTAGAGCTCTACTCTGGTGTTTGTGTAATTTATTCAGCGCGGTTTGTTGTTCGTCTGGCCTGAGTTGACATTTCTGTCCTTTAAAACATCTAATCCAGACGAAGGAGGTCGTTTAGGAGCTCTTTACCGAATCCCGATGACGCCTGCTATCGACCCATTCCTGTTGAACAAGGAATTTTTCGTGCCTGCATCTTTATTTGCTCAGGTGAAAACGTTCAATTCCTCAAAGAAATCACCAAAGCCCAGACACAGAGGGAAGTCCAGCCTCAGATCTGTCTGCAGACTCTGACATCCTATCGGACCTCACACACGCCGACAGAATCAGGACCGTCAGCTCCCTGCTCATCCCTACCTGTAGGCTCCCACCTCATTAGTGGCCACAGTAATGAGCGGTGCAGCAGCTCCCCGCTCACTGATGGATATTTCCACACCTTGGAGCTCTGGAGACACCTTGCCCTCCAAGAACAGACCTGCACGCCCGATGATGTCCACCAGCCGACCGGGACACGACTCTGTCAGAACGAGACCCGAGATCTCCTTTGAATTCTGATAGTTGGGCAGAACCAGTCAAAAGCTTCGAGGCGTGATAATTAGAGGCTCTTACCTCCTGTGATGGTTGCCTCCACCTCTGAAGGATAGAACAGCAGCTCCTTGGAGGACGGAGTCACCGTGATCTTCTCGCCAGCTCTGCAGGGTCACACTAGAATTATCATCATCATCATCGCTTTACGATGACGAGGACTCTCCTTTCTGATTCTTATTAACGAAGTCTTATCAAACGGTCAGCTGATCACACACCGACTTTCCCGCACGACGAACTAAGATCGTCTCTGCAGGACCCTGAACCCAAGTCGGGATGTTTTAGAGGAACGCGAGAGTTTCTGGCCTCCCTGTCTGGAACACATTTTAGTAAAAACAAACAAAATGTCTGAGATTTTATCCGTAATCATCAGACAACGAAGCTCCCGCTGCAAATCAAACGGGTCCGCTTTAATAACCCACCCACAGAGATGAAACCAGCACTAATGTAACTGCTGACCTCTGAACTCTTACGCTAGAACGTTAATGTTTCATGAACCGTTAGCAGAAGTGCTAAATGCTCGATGAGGAGATTATGGTATTACGATTCTGCTTCTGTATTTAAAGCAGAGTATGCATCTTTTGGAGGATTTACATGTAAACATTTACAGCAGCTCCACATAGGATCTGCGGTACCGACCTGGCCCAGTACGAGAACTCGTAGTGGAAAGGACCCGTGAGCTCATCTGCCTTCTCTTGGACGGGAGGGCTGTCGTCTTTGGCTCCGCCCTCTTCTCCGGCCGCGCGGCGCTCTCGTTCCTGGCGGCGCAGCTGGATCTCCTGCAGCTGCTGCTCCTGCCTCTGCTCCTCCAGGCTGCGCAGCGGACCTAGAACCAGCGCCGGCTCACTTTCGATGGACGACCTGAGCGGGACATAACGTTACCGCCTAACCGGCGAATGCAGCGACAGAACGAAGCTTTCAGGTCGTGTTTACGGTACTTGATTGTGACTGTGACATCGAGGATCTTATCCGTGGTGATGAGTCCGGTCATGTGATGCCGCACGGCGGTGAGGGTCAGGATGCTCGGAGACGAGCTGTCACGTACACATTAACCAGACTCGTCAACAACACGGGCCACTCGTAACCCCGAAACAAACACGCCGGCTCATCACTCACGTGTCGTAGGTGTAGAAGTCCTGCTCGAACTGGTGGCAGGAGCGAGGGGTGACTTTGTAAACACCTGGAAAAGCCATTTTTATGTGATTAATTACTTTGTTCCAGTTTTATATTTAGCTAAGGCTGACACAGACCTTTGGCTCCAAACACCGGACTAACTGTACACCAGGGAGAGCCTGCTACGCTCTGATACTCCCTCAATATGCTAATTAATCCGATGTTTGGAGGTCAGGAGAAGCAAGCTTACCGGGTTTGGAGAGGCAGAAGCGATTGACTCCTTTGGAGAGATTGTACACGCCGACATTCTCGGGTTTGCTGCCATCTTGAAAGAATTCCTGCAGAAGACGAGGTGTTTAATCAGAAACCTGCACCAGACGTGATTAATGGTTATGAAGGCGCCTCCGTCTGCGAGGACACGCTCAGGAGAGGCGGCGACTGACCAAGGTGATGGCGTGGGACAGGGAGCAACGCAGGATGTAGCCGATCTGTCTGAACTCCACCCCCGACACGTCCGCGTCCAGAACCTCCACTTCCAAGGATTTGTGTTTCCAGCACCACTCCTCGTGGGAGATGCCCACTGATTTTTAGCGACAACGGGAAAGTAAACAGAAAACAGCAGAAGTGACACAAAGCTAAAAGGAGTGAACCCCGTCTGGCTCCAGAAAGCCAAACGTGTTCATCACAACCCGGGTTCCCAAAATCTAAATGATTTAGAAACCCTTATGAATTATTATTAGTGTTCTTATTGCTGAGCGTGATTATCTGCTTTGTGTGTTTTTTACTGTGTTACATATTTTTATATAACAGTTATAAAGGCGTTCTGGTCGATAGAATCATGTTTAAGAAGTTCTTTACACTAAACCCCTTTTAAACTTCACCGTTTCAGGACCTTCCAGAATGAGTCGCTGCTGCAGGGCTCTGGCACTTTAAGAAAACAAGATGGAGCTGGCCACGCCCACTCATCCCCAATTGGTTGCTATAATCTGAGAAGCTCCAATATCTGGGAGGGGTTCAGAGTAGAGCTGCTGCTCCTCCAGCAGCAGCCCTTTTGCATGAGAGGTGGTTCTATGCTCATTTCCCCGTCTGTGACATCACAAATGGGGACATTTTGAAATGATTCATTTTAGGCCCACAGTTCCAAAAACCAAACACCGACAAAAAACAGACGGACGTTTTTTTATTTTCACGTTCGCAGTCGAGACCTTCGTGGCAGCACAAAAGGAACGGAGTTCGTTTTGATTGGTGAGTCTCAGTTAAATGGAATGGTAAATGGCCTGTATTTGATATAGCACCTTCTAGAGTCATGGAACCCCTCAATCAGTCATTCATCCATTCACACACTGGTGGGGATGAGCTACGATGTAGCCACAGCTGCCCTGGGGCGCACTGACAGAGGCAAGGCTGCCGAGCACAGGCGCCACCGGTCCCTCCGACCACCACCAGCAGGCAACGTGGGTTAGGTGTCTTGCCCAAGGACACAACGACTGCGACAGACTGAGCGGGACTCGAACCTGCAACCTTCCGATTACGGGGCGAGCACTTAACTCCTGTGCCACCGTCGCCCCGTTTGGAAGTGAAAACAGACAGGATTTTTTTGGGTGGAGTTATTGTGTGAAAGAGCATGTTAACGTATAAAGAACCTTTGTATTTCCCAGGTAGAACGTTATCGAAGGAGAAGCCGAGGACGTCACCGCTGCCAGACAGCGCCACGCTCCTCCTCTCTCCCTGCCGGATCACGGGCTGCAAAGTTACGGACAGATCGTCGCAGGAAGCTGCCGCACAAAACAGAAGCAAAAGTGTAATTATTCAACATTTTCATGAAAGACTTCGATGTAACCGAGCTCCTTACCCAGACAGTAAACGCTCCCCGAGACAGAAGCCATGAACTGGGTGAACAGGAGGTCGGTGAGCGGCTGATCCATCAGGGAGACCTCCAGGGCCCGAGGCTGCAGCGCCAGGCCGGCTTTCACCTCCGCATCAGGAAGGGACACCTGAACGGACACGGGCATTGTGGGATTGCCTCTTTGATGTGCAGCAAAACTGGGTTGTTAATCAGGTTTTCGGTGTTTCCCAGATTAAAGACGAAATAATCTCAGCTTTAAAGATCTTATTTAAATTTGTTTTTTATCATTTAAGTGATGAAAACTTCCAGGGGCGCCTCACGTGAACGCTGTAGTCTCCGGGTTTGGCCTGGAAGCAGAAGGCCCCCTGAGGGTCCGAGTCGACGGTCCGACTGAACGTCTTGTCTTGACCCCGATGTGTCAGCGTGACCTTGTAGCGACCTTGCTGCTTCATGCCCTCGGGCAGGCGTCTGATGGAGATCTGACCACAAACACTGAACCTGTTCGGGATTCACATCAGAGAACAAAATGACTGATCTGGCGATCGCGCTCACACGCTCCAAAATACCCAGCGTACCCCGCTGTGATGATGTCAGGAAGCTGGGGCGTGTTCGGGGCGATCTTCACCGTGATCGGCTCGAAGAACATGAGATCCTTGCTGACGCGGATGGTGTAGACACCAGCCGTCATGTTCTCCAACCGGAAAGAACCGTCCTCCTTGCTGAGAACTGGAGGAACAAAAACGACCAACGAGGAACTCGATGAGTCAGAAACACAAAACTCGGCACTGGTTTTGGTTTTCTGGTTAGTTTTCAAAGATTTTCTGTTACAAATGCAAACGCAGCAAGAGTGATGTCACACCTGGTTGCACTTTCCCTTTGTGATGGGACTGAGCAATAAGTGGAAAATCTACCGTTATGGAAATCTCTGACTCTTATCGAGATTGTTTCCCATGTCGATGCATTTGTTGATAAAACAAAAGAAAAGATGTGCGTAGGTTGGCTAAATTCACGTCCCTTTTAGAAACAGAGTCACAAAACTATCGTGCATCAGCCCCACCTAGTGGACAACTGTTGTTCCTGCACACACCTGTACTTATCGTCCACTTATCGTCATCAAGGTGAAATCCTCAATATATGGAGATATTGATTTTAAGCCGTATCGCCCAGCCCTACGTTGTGATGATTGATTTTTTTTAAATTACTAAATAAAATGACTGAAAATGTTTTATTAATGTAAAACTGATTAGAGTGAATTATAAAGAGCACAAACCGCTGCAGTGGGTTAAAGTTTTGCAGTAATATTTATATTAGCAGAGCTCTTTTCTCTGATTTTACTCATTAGAATTAACATTTTAGATCATAAAAAATAAATAAATAAAAACTGAAAATAACAAATCTTATGAGGGAACGAAGCTCAGGAAACGGCCTGAATTAGCCGTACGCTAACGGCCACACACACATCAAGCAGCGAGATGATGAAATTAGGAGGTGGAACCCAATTCTAACCCAGTTGTATCAACCCGACGAGGTCCGAAGCTCACCTCTGATCTGGTTGTTGAGGGACACCGTAGCGTCCAGCACCCCGTCCCCACCGGGACTGTTCAGGACTCGTCCCATCACGGAGAACCCCATCACACGGAAGATGGGCTGAACACACAGGAACGGGCTTGTGCGTCATGTTTGGTACCATCATTAATAAGAAAATAGAAGCAGCGGTTAACTTAATACCTCCAGTTTTAAACTGCTGTGTTCCACTTTGAAATTCATCCTGGAAGGAGCAACGTCGAAAGTGATCCTCTCCCCCCTGTAGAAAGGCACCTGAGAGGCAGAGAAGATGAATGAGATGCTTCAAATTATTCCATTCTTATGTTAAGCTGTTGAATTAGCATGGAAATAAACAGCAAGATGGAAAATTTTAATTCTTTGGGTGTTTTTGGGATGAAATAATCGTTTTTGGGTTTGATTAAAAACAGTAAATCCACTTTGTAGGGTGTAGCGACCTCTGGTGGTTAGAGATGCAAACTGCAACCAAGTGAAAATTCCAGAAAATGCTGCTTTTTATTTACTCGTCCTCCTGAGATGCTAGTAACAACAACAACATCTAAAACAATAGTTTTTATTTGATATAAAGTTATTAGACATTAATAAACTCATTTGAAGCATTCTGGTCAAAGATCCGCCTACATCTCACACGCTCCAGTGTCAGCTGTTCAAACAACAACAAACTACATTTTTTTTATTTACTACAATTTCACAATAAATGTCTTTCGTGGGACAAAAACTGCTAAAAATTAAAGCTGAGTGTTCTTTTCCCTCCCCTTCAAACCTACGCTGCTGTCTTCTGTCTCTACCACAACAACACCCACTCACCGTTTCCATAGCAACATAAAGAGCAGCCAATTCAACCTGAAGGGGATTTTGCGATGGATGGCAACAAGGTCTCCTCCAGAGTTTTTGCCATGAAAAGATATATATATTTTTTTAAACAGAAGAACTCACAACGGTGTAGTCGCCGCTGGCGAGCGAGGGGAAGGTGAAGGAGCCGTCGTCTCTGGACAGCGTGCTGCACAGGTAGACGAGAGAGTCACCCTCCGGATCCGCACCATCCACCGGAGACGTGTTACAGCCGGAGATGTCCTGGAGAGCAAAACGAATGGAGCAGCTCACTAGCTGTAAAACCGAAAAAAGCACCTGAGGCTGATTCATCTGATCTGTTCGTTAGAAACAAACCACTTCTACCTCTTGCTTGACTGTTGCAGAGTACAGCAGGAAGGTGACCTCCTTCATGGGCTCTCCATCACTGCGGACCTCCCCAGAGACGTCGTAGCCTCCAACCACCAGCTGGTCGGCGGCCAGAGCGTTGGCATTGGAGACGTGCACCGAGGTTTTACTCTGCAAGAGGGCATCAAAGGTCGCTGGGTAAAATACAGAACAGGATGAAATAATCGACCTATCAGGAAAAACGTGATTAGTGGTGAGTGTCATCGGTTATGACATGGAACTCGATCAGCTGATCAAGTTAGTGATGAATAACAACGCTTTTCTATTCAATTCGGTTTATTTATGTAGCGACCAGTCTCGTCTCAAGGACCTTCACATAGTAACTAGTACAGGTCAGGTCATTGAGCCAATCAGTAACAAGTTTCCTATATAAGGAACCCAGCAGGTCGCATCGAGTCACTGATCAGCTGATCAGTGTGACAGAACTTTATTCTTTCCATTTAACCTTTAATTAACCAGGTAAAATCCAACAGGAGTCAGAACTTCACACACCTGCTCCAGGGTCCAGGAGGGGTGAGAAGCTGTGATCTCATAACTCCCAGGCAGCACTTTGAAGAAGGTGTACCTGAACAGATAAAAACCTTCTGTTAACAGCAACCATTTCCATCCATCTGAACCCTGCAGAGCCGCTGGTGGAAAGCCATCATTAAACCTGGAGTTATGAGGCACTTACTTCCCTCCTGGCTGTGTGAGCACACTCCGGAGTTTCTCCTCTGATCCTGCTCGGCTCAGCCGGACTTCTACTCCTGCTGGGCCCAGGAGATGGCCCTTACTCAGAACCTGCGATGAATGAACAGCGTGAAAGTGTGTGAACACGGCATCAGGGAGTAGATTTTTTTGTTTTCCTTGTGCAAACACATGTTCCTATGTTGGATTGGATTTTGAGAGATTTCTGCTGGTTTCACGTTTTGTTCTGATGCATGAAACCAGGAAATGATTCAGGTGTTGAAGCAGCTAATCGTCCCTCCATCAGTGGAATAAAACCTAGATAATTAGACAAGTCGAAGAGGAAATGTCTTGCAGCCGAAGGGGGAACTTTTCAGTTTCTCCTGTTTATGGTGAAAAGTTAGAAGATGTACCGGATCAAACTGAATAGGGATGTAAGAAAATATCGATATGGCAATATATCGTGATATTTTTCCAACAATATTATATCGATATTCAAAAGCCGTGTATCGGAAATATCGATATGGCAATATATCGTGAATTTTTTCCTGCGATTATTACATCGATATTCAAAAGCCGTGTATCTAATTCTTGAAAGAATTTACATGCAAACTTTTGTGTATTTTCTTTTCGTTTTGTGCAATTCAATTGCCACCCGCTAGTTGGCAGCAGTGTGCAACTGGTTTTGTTTCCACCATTGAACTGTAAATCCCTCCATCATGGTTCAGATACCTCATGTTAAACATGTTACGTATCAGTTTGGACGTTTTATTGAACATTCTTAGAATAAATTCAGTAAAAAGAAATTGCTTGTAACGTCTGACTGAATGTATCGCAATTAATCGCGATATATCGTATCGTCTCCCCTGTATCGTGATATGTATCGTATCGCCAGAATTTCAAAAATACACATCCCTGAAACTGAACTCTCCCCAACGGGATCGTTTTTTACAGTTCCTTTAATAAAATATTCAGCCAGTGTTGTTTCATTTTATCCGTGTGATCAGCTCTCACCACTCCAGAGACAGAGAAGCCGGTAAAGACAAAGTTGATATCTTCCTCTTTGGTGCAGATGTCCGTGACGCCGTCCACACGCAAGTCGACGCTGGTGGGCTCTGGTGACAGTCACGGGGAAGAAGAAGAAGATCAAAAACAACGAAAACGTGTCATATCATCGTTTGATCTTCAGCCGGTTGGTCCAACACCGACTGACTCGGAGGGAGACAGCAGCTGATCTCTTACCGAAACTCCAGCCCAGAGGAGGCTCGATCTTCAGAACGAAGTCTCCCTGATCACAAGTATAACAGTTAGTTACCACAAAGGTGTGCACGACGAGCGGTTCTGTGTGAGTGGAGCGGCACCTTGTCATAGAGAGGGATCATGAAGTAGCCATTGATGGGAGCGCAGTCTGTCTGGTACTTCAGTGAACCTTGCTTGGTGTACAGTTTAATCTGCGCGTGAAACAACAACAACAACACAAGCAGCTGTTGCTGTAAACACTGACTTCTCACAGGAAGATTAACGAGTTCAAATTATTGAGTTAACTTTACAAACCAGGGTGGTGCTTAATCTCCTCGAGGATTGAATGAAAGGGGATTAAGAGGAGCTCTTAAGGTCTTCCTCCTCAACACTAACAGATATCAGGATTAGGAGGAACGACCGCGTGTAAATCAACCTTTTAGCTCCAATTAATTCGTTGTCATTTTATCCAAAGATAGTTAGCTAGTTAAATGGACCACTGAATGAGCAGACTAGATTAATGTAACTAAACTTTATTCACGACTACATCTCGGAGGGTTCTGACGCAAAACAGACGGGAATGTCTGATTTAATCCGTCATTCATTCCACCCAACCTTCGGCTGGTGACGGCGAGCTAGCTAGTTAGCTGCTAACAGGGACCTCTCACCTCGATCAGGGAGTAGTTAATTTCAACGTCTGATTTGACGAATCCGCCGCACGCGACCACTATGTCATCAGAGGACGCGGTCAGGATCTGGGAGTAGATGACGCAGAGCAAAACCCACACGGACCCCATGTCCGCCCGGATCGTAATTCTCAACATTTTGATGCTCCGGTGTCTCGAGAGGGCACGCTGCCTCCGGTTCCGCTGTCAGTGAGCAAGGACAGAGCCGCTCGCTGGCGCCCTCTGGCGGACAGGAGGTTCGTTAGCATGCATTACAAACCATGACAAATCTGATAAAACAGTTATTTATTTGTTCATTAAGGAATTTACTAAACTCCTTTGAATTGTCTCATAGTAAAATAAAACAGTAAAACAGTCATTTCACTCAGATCTAACTATAATATTCAGCATTAATAACCCAGTCACACACAAACTGAATGTTTCAGACATTAGTGGGAACACTTGCAGATCAGAGACTGTAGCTGTCTGCATAACTGTAATGACATGATAGTGTGTGTAAAACACAAGATCAGTACAGACTGTAGTAAAGAGGTCATAGTGGTGAGAATACAGCGTAAAGTGCATAAATAAGTACAGTAGTAGAGGGAAACTGAAGGTCACCTCGGAAGGAAAAGGTAAAAACAATAGTATAAAAATACACAACTGACCTAAAACATGAGATTTCTTTGAGTTTGTAAATAATGCCATCATCCAGAGGAAACACAAAGTTAAAAACATCGATAGCATCAGCAGAGACCCGTAGGTTTTAGTATTTTCACAAGTTCAAACAAACAAAAACATCACATAATAAACTAACTATCGTTGTGCTCGTCTCCAGCTGCTTTTGATCTGAGCTCGTCTTGGGGGGGGGGGGGGGGGGGGGGGTTCTGATTTCTGGTCTTTGCCTCACACATGAGTAGAGGAGTTGGGTGATGAGTGTGCCAAGAACACAGTCTCAGTGAAATGACTGTTGAAGCTGGTGTGGTAACTGGGACTGCTTCTGCTGCTGCGGGCCGGCAGTTTGGAGCCCGGAGACCTGACCCCTGAGGCCCTCTGGGCCTGGTACAGCTTCTGCATCAGAAAGCGTTTGTCCTGACCCTCCTGAGGGTAAGAAATGGCACAATGATGGTAAATCTCAGTCCACAAACCGAACCAAACCACAGTCGAATGATCAGATTCCTCATCAAATGCTGAAAACGTACCAAAACAAGCTGCTCCCTTAGTTGCTTAATGACTCTCTTATGAGCTCCGGCAAGTGCAATCACATAAAACATGGCCAGACTGTGGAAACAATGTTTAACGAACAGCCAGAAAGAAAGAGAAATGTGCTCAAAATACCAGACTGAACACAAACCATGTAAGAACAAAAAAGGTGACGGCAAACGCCTCTGAGGACAGCGCATAGAGCAGGTTTCTGACTCCATCTGGCAGCTTGGATACGGTGTCCGGCACCACCTCCCAGGAGGTGGTGTAGTTCACAAATGGTCCACAACCCTGAGAACAGTGTATCCTGTACAAGAAAGAAGAGACTAAATGAGTGAAAACATGTAAAAAGAGTCGATGAGAGGTCCCAAACTTAGGAGAAAGTCTCAAAATGAACGTACGGAGGCACATTGATGCCAGTTTGAGGGGGAAAAAAATGTCTTGTCCATGACTCTTTTCCCTTTCCCACTGAGCTACAGGCAGAAATTTTACTCAACAGGACCTGGAATGATGAGGAATCGCGCCTGTGGGAACCCCCACTGGCTGTAAATTTTAACCAGCCGATCAGTTCGTAGCGTCACTTTGGTCTCAGTTGGACCTCCAATGAAGAGGTCGGACAATAATGGGCCATTCCCATCTGTACCGGGTCGGCCCGGGCCGGGTAGCGTAGGTTGTTTACATATCTGGGTGCCCTGGTATTTTTCTGGGCCAACCAAGGCTCATTCTCAGCCCTCTTCTCGAGGGAGTCTGCTTCAGGCCGACCAGGGCCAACACACCCACTGCTGACAGCAAATTCACACCTTCCATTAGAGCAAGCCTCTGATTGGTGGGTAGAATCAGCCCACATGGGCTTAAGACAAGGATGTGTGGAATCAACCGGGCCAGGCTGGGGCCGACTGGGGCTACCCGGCCCGGGCCGACCCGGTACAGATGGGAATGGCCCTTAAGAGTCGCCTCAGAACGGGAAAGTCGTATCTGACCCAGGTATGAAACCAAATTCCGGTCCCGTACCCGATCGTACCGACTGTGCAAGCACTAAATGTTTCTCGGCTGGCGTGGGAACGCGTTGGGATTCCCCCGGAGGAGCTGGCCCAAGCGAATGATAAACGACCCGCGCTTGTATAGCGCCTTTCAGAGCCAGAGGACTCCAAAGCGCTTTACACTGCAGCGTCTCATTCACCCACTCACACACTGATGGGGATGAGCTACCATGTAGCCACAGCTGCCCTGGGAGACACCGGGAAGCCTGAAATCAAGTAATGGACCTTTACTTAGAACATATGTGGTCGGACTCACTGCGCTACACTGATGATGACTGGCACGCAGGCGAGACTCAGGCCGATCAGCAGCACCACGAAGAAGAAGAAGGTGGATCTTGACGCTCGAAATGGACGAGTGGCGGGGCGGCAGTTGTGGATTAGGGACACCTAAGAAAAGAGCAGCAAAACCGGAAATAATGGATTTAAATCTTTAATGAGTTTTACTTTCTGGTAATAAAACAGGGAGGAAGAGATGTCACCTTTTTGATGTAGAAGATGAAGAAGTATTTGATGATGCAGATGGCGGGCAGCATGGGACAGTAGTAGGCTCCGATCCAGCAGATGGTCTGGCCGTAAACTATCTGCAGCACATTATCGGGGATGGAAAACTCCTGCTGACCCCACCACTTAGCCAGGCCACAGCGGCAGTAATTCACCATCAGCCTGGGGAGGACAGGGCTGTCATGTGTCTATGTACGCATGTCTGATCTTGGAATTGTCTGTACTGAAACTGAATTTCCCTCTGGGATTAATAAAGTATTCTTGTTTGTGTTTGTTTGTTTGTTTGTTTACTACAGCAGGCGATTAACAGACTTCTGCAGAGCCGTCATCCACTTGTAGCGATGACGTCATGACCGCTCTTCCATATGGATTTGGAAAGCTATCGTAAGCTTAACAATGATGGGAACAGTAAATGTGCACTTCTGTGACGTGTCCACAGACTACGATCACAGCTTCAGACGCGTTTCGTCTGGAATATTAACCAACAGGGGCGATCTTGTGCCCGGTATTTGCTTCGGACTATTTCTGACCGCAGGCGATTAGACTGGGTTATGAGTTTAGCTCTGTGCCACGTCTGCGCTTTCTCTGATCCGAGTCACACACAAGCAGAAAACAGATGTGACAAAATCACATTCAAATGAACACACATTCACTTCCTGTAGGAGTTAAATGAGGCTGACAGCAGACGCTTATGAAAGTTACAGACTTGGTTGTGTCAGCCCTCTTCAAGATAAGCTCCGCCCTGGCTGTCAGACAGGGGGGGGGAGGGAGGAAAGAAAGAAAGAAAGAAAGAAAGAAAGAAAGAAAGAAAGAAACGCCCTGGCTGTCAGACAGGGGGGGGGGAGGGAGGGAGGGAGGGAGGAAAGAAAGAAAGAAAGAAAGAAAGAAAGAAAGAAAGAAAGAAAGAAAGAAAGAAAGAAAGAAAGAAAGAAAGAAAGAAAGAAAGAAAGAAAGAAAGAAAGAGAGAGAGAGAGAGAGAGAGAGAGAGAGAGGCTCTGTCTGGTTCGGAGCGGAAAACTCAGTAAAGAGGATAATAACTTAGAATGAATTATCACAAAGTGTGATGGTTTGATTAAGACTGGCTGGCTCGCCATAATATGTAGCAATTATTACATATTAATTATGACCAATAAGAAGTGATGAGTCCATACAAATATGAAATATCAACCTGATTGATCTTTGAATGCTTAAAAAGCAAGTCACCCCCAAATCTACCTTTTTTCTGATAAACGATATAAATGTGTGTCTAATCGTGCTGCAGACACGTGTAGTCAATAGTTTTGCACTTTAGTGCGTTTTAGTTAAAAATGTAATTTTCTGCCTAAAACTGTCAGTGTTTTGCCGTTGTCAGGTAAAAACTCTGCATTTGAATTTAAATCCGCCACCGCTATTGGCTAAGAGGTACCCTAGAACGTTAGCTGGTACCATATGATGTCACAATGTTGTTGTGAGCCTGTGTGTGTATTTGTTAGCGGCTCTGCCCTCTCGGTCTGCCAGGCAACAGCATTTGTTGCATTTTTCAAACAGGAAGTGGGAGTTGAGTAAGAATCTGGTAGGGGGTGACTTGCTCTTTAATCAGAAGATTCTAGGGTTTTTTGCTTATTCAGGGACCATAAACACACTTCGTATTAATTTAGACAGTCAGTATATAGTTTATAAAATGAACTAAATTCTTTTTCCAAAACTAATAATTTATACATGACAAGATATGAAAGATGAGACGTGTGATGGAAGCTAGATGTTGTAGCAGCCGTTCTTTGTATCTGAGAGAAAAAGTGAAATCTGGGTGTACAATAATTAGTTTGTTATGAACTAGAGTTGTTTATTTATAAACCTCATCAGACACCAGTGTGCAGGCGTATGATACTCTGGTATGAGTTGCTCCCGGCGGTCTGGAGGGGTGAGGTCACCAGACGTCGAAACCACGATACTCAGAGGTTAGTAGCTTCCTCCGAGTTTGGCTTCCCCGGCCATGAGATGCAACCCGGGGTCTGCAGGTTAGAAGTCCAGGGTGGATGTCTGAGCTGAAGTAGCTCTGAAAAGAGCTATTCGTCTGTGATCACTCGCAGCGTCGCAGAAAGGTTTTGGCCTAAGGTCAAAGGAGTTTGTTTAAAAAAAATGCTTCTTTCCCGATTTGGCCGGATCGAGGGTCAGCTGGAAACTTAATTACTCGGGAAGTAATTATTGTTTTATTAAACTACTTTACGATTTCTGGCCAAGTTTGTCCAATCAGAATTTGACACGTTTCAGAGTTTTTACCAACACCCCTCAGAAAGCCACGCCCTCCTCAGATACAAAGATGTTTTTAACCTTAATGAGTATCTTACTGTAATGTGTGTGAGGGTCAACCACGATTAACTTGTTAAACCGACACATCTGTGATATAAACGGATCATTATAAGAACAACATTCATTTCAAATTCATTGATTTAAACGTCTTGTTCATTCATCACATACGATTATTCAACTTATAACTAACATCGTGGAGTCTTCACGTATTCAGAGTGAAGAATGTTGACGTCTGGCGTTCACAGAGAGTGCAGGACCTTGGGAGAGAATGTTTGTTTGGATGTTTTGTCTTCATGAATGATAACACACGCTGAGCAGAACCTTCTGGACTTAGAAGGTCACACAGAAAGTGGATTTATGCTGTAGATGAAAGGTTATCATGTTGGTCAACATGTAAGTGAAAATTGACCCTTTTGGACGTTACACACTAAAGCAGGAGAGTTGGAGCAGGGAAACAACTAAAACATGGGTGGGACACCACTGCTCTGACACACAAAACTAGACAAAAGAAGATTTCGTGTATTTTTATTTTCTTACTTTCGAGGAAACTCCACGAAGAGGGTGACAGCTACGATGATGATGAAGTCAAAGATGGTGAGCTTGTACATCTCCTGGCCCACACGGGTCTCCCAGCACTGCATGCAAAATAAAACATGTTTAGTAAAAATCTCTTCGTGTACTGTAAGGTTAGGTGTGGCGGCCCCGCTCATCCACATTCAGTCCCGTTTAGCCGGGCGCCAGCCCCTCAGGGACTAACGGTTATTATCGACGCCTGGAGATGTTTCCTTACGTTGGACATTTGTACGAATGTACTTTTCATGTTCTGTTGCACGACATTTTTGTGAGGCTCTGGCGTAACTTCCTCCTGACGTCAAGGATCTGATCTGTGATCCGAATGACCCACAAGGCGTGGGCGGGTAAAATGCCGTTTACATCCATTATTTAAATAGTAAAGGTGGAGTGTGTGTGTGTGTGTGTGTGTGGGGGGGGGGGGGGCTTGTCCTCAAGTCTTTTTAATATTCTTCACCTTCCAATGGAAAACAATGTCACGTCCTCTATTGGTGGATATGGAGAAGGACGGGGAGTAACACAGAGGCATGTGCTTCAGTTGTGGAAATTGTAAACACAGATTTATTACAAGGATTTTAAAATGACAAAAAGCTCCAAATCTAAAAGTACTTAAACACATTGTTAAAATGGCCAAGGGTTCACGTTTAAAACAGACATCAAATGCTCCCAAACATTCACAAAACAAAGTCCACTGACTTAAACACAAGTTTGGGAGCCAAGAGGTAACCAGCACTCTGGTCCCTCATCTGTTAAAAACCTCTAAAAGCTCTTAAGCTTCACCAAGCTTAAAGAACTAAAACCCATTTAAAAGCCATTAAAACACAAACAAATGGAGCACATGAGAGAACTGGCACAGATCCAGTCTCTCCCTTCCTCCTGGCAGCTCTCCCTTTTATGCTGCTCAGGAGGTGATCAGCCCAAGTGAGTGCAGCTGTGCAGGTAGGAGGTGGAGGAAGCACTGATTGTCCTCTGCAGTGTCAGATTTCTGAGGCAAACGGCAACAGCCGTAACAAACAAATGAAATGTTTTTGTCTGTTTTATTTATTTATTATTGGGTCACTAGAGGAGCGGGCCTTTTCCGTTCTTGGACCGAACTTGTGGAAGGATCTCCCGCTGGTGGTCAATTCAATTCAATTCAAAAATACTTTATTAATCCCAGAGGGAAACTGATTGCTGTAGTAGCTCAGAATAATAATAATAATCAAGTCATCAAAGAGTTGTTGTATATTACAATGGCTGTTGGCAGGAAGGATCTCCAGTAGCGGTCAGTGTTGCAGCCAAACTGAAGAAGCCTCTGACTGAAGACACTCTTCCGTTGTCGGACAGTCTTGTGAAGAGAATGCTCAGGGTTGTCCATCATTTTCTTGATTCTCTGGAGAATCCTTCTTTGCATTATCTCCTCCAGTGGTTTCACAGTCGTCCCCAGAACAGAACCAGCCTTTTTTTTTTAGGCTGTTGAGCCTTTTCAGGTCCCTGCTTCTGATGCTGACCAGCACCTGTTTTATCATTGCCCATGATGATCGATGGAAGAGATGGTTTGAATTTCCTCTTTCTCTGTCTCTGTTTTGCTCCCACTCTGCACCCACGCTTCTTGCGTTTTAGCTCATTTGGGATTTGTGGCTTCAGTTACGGTATTATTTCAGCCTTTCCAATGTTAATCAGCTGCTCCCGGTTGTAAACCAGCTTGTTACCGTGGTTACACATCATAACAAATGCTCAAAAAGTGAAAAAAATAGCAGTAAAAATCCTCTAAGCTTCACAGCACCAGAAACAGAAAAGTAAAATGTCAAAAAAATACAGTTTTTCTTGAGAAACTAGAAGAAAAAATGTCCAAAAAAGGCTAAACTTACACATAGTCAACAGAGCTACTCCAACATGCAGCCACCCAGAGCAGCGCAGTTCCGGAATGGGCTCCGGCACCGGATGGTTTAAGAGTAAACACCTTTTCTATTCTTTAAGACTCGGGTGAGGGTTGTTTTATTGTCTCTGCTGCTATTGTCTGGCTATGAGACGGTTTTAGAATTTTACTAGTTTTATTATTATTATGAAACTGTGCTAAAGAGCACAAAGTCGTTGTGTTTTTCTTGCATCGTGTGTGGCACAAAAATGCTTTTTAAATAAACGATGATGAGCCTTGAACGTATGATTTTTATTTTCTCATAACTTTTAATTTCACAAGCTTTTTGTATTCTGTAACCGAACCAGCCGTTTGACCACGGCTTCCTGGGAGAAGAAATACTGGAGGGAGTTTTCCTCTCCACTGTCGCTGCATGCTTGCTTAGTATGAGGATTGCTGTAAAGACTGACACTAGTCAGTGACTCGATGCAACCTGCTGGTTTTTACTGATTGACTTAATGAACTGACCTGTATTGGAATGTTTACTGTTTGAAGGGCCTTGAGACGACTCTGGTCCTGATTTGGCGCTTAAGAAATAAACTTGAATTGAATCTCCATGGTGATATTTAGCAAAACAATACACAGTTTGATTTATGACAAGAGTGTATTCAAACCCGGAAAGCTAAACGAGAACACGATCCTCCTGCCTACGTCCAAACTACAGTTGACATCACCAGAGGCGGACTGGGAAAGTCGTTAAAGAGCAAGTCACCCACAAATCTACCTTTGTTTCTGATCAACTATATAAATGTGTGTCTAATCGTGCTGCAGACACGTGTCGTCAATAGTTTAGCACTTTAGTGCATTTTAGTTAAAATTTTAAATGTTCTGCCTAAAACTGTCAGTGTTGTGCCGTTGTCAGGTAAAAACTCTGCACTGCATTTGAATTTAAATCTGCCATCGCTATTGGCTAAGAGGTACCTTAGAACGTTAGCTGGTACCATATGATGTCACAATGTCGTTATGAGCCTGTGTGTGTGTGTGTGTGTGTATTTGTTAGCGGCTCTGCCCTCGCGGTCTGCTAGGTAACAGCAGTTGTTGCATTTTTCAAACAGGAAGTGGGAGTTGAGTAAGACTCTGGTAGGGGGTGACTTGCTCTTTAAGGGTCGATGTCTGCATGAGAGAAAAGGCTGAGAAACTTGAATTAAATCAAACATGAAGAAATGTGTAAAAGTGCGACAAGTCAAGCAGCTGGTGATGGTGAGGTTTCATTCTGACCGTTTTTCATGTGAGGAAAACAAACCAAACTGCATGAAAAGTAACTTTAGTGACATCCTGGCCCTGAGCACCAAGCTCTCCCATTGGCTAAAGAGCCATCGTCTCCACAGTGACTTGAAAAGGAAACAGTTTGACACCAACATCTGTTTTTATTACAATGACTAGTTTCTTGCATTAGACTTATAGAAATGAACTCACGGAGTAAAGTTTGTAGTTGTAGCCACATTCACAGGAATTCTCACCACAGTCGGTGATCTGAGACCAGAGAGAGAAGAGCAAAACTCCAATACTGGTCAGCCGCATGAAGACACACCTGTCAGGAAGAGGAGAGAGAGAGAGAGAGAGAGAGAGACAGAGAGAGAGAGAGAGAGAGAGAGAGAGAGAGAGAGAGAGAGAGAGAGAGAGAGAGAGAGAATTACAGCCACTCTGTGAGCTGAGGGGACGAGCAAAGGGGCAAATACCTCATCAGAGTAAAACGGATCTCAAAGGCAGGAGTGTAGTCTTCAAATTTGACGATGAAAGAGAACAGAAGGGGCGTGACGAAGTTGGCCACGGTGATAACGATGGAGGGCAGGTATTCGTAGATGAGATCCACAAAGAAATTCACCTACAAATCAACACGAAGTGGTTTCATTTGCTGCCAGTGTGCTAGCTAACTAAGCTAGCTAAGGAAGTGAAAGATAAGCACGAGGACGTGCTTTTACCTTGATATTCTTCCTTCCTGCCGTCTGGGAGAAGATGGTGGCTAAATAGATGCTGTAGAAACAAGCAGCCAAGAAGCCAACGGCAAAAAAGTTGAGGAGGAAGCGGATGGAGAAAATCCGCAGCTTCTCCTTTCTGGTGCGACCTTGGATTTTCTGTTTGATCCTCTCCTCCTCCAGATCAGTCTGAGAAGACAGAGATGCTTTAAACTGATTGGATAAAAGCATAAAAACCACTGAGAAATGTTCTGATCAAAAGCCTCGTTATTTCAGGCGACCCCGACCTGGATGAGCAGGAGGATCAAAGCTTCCCGAAGCTCAGCTTTAAAATGATAATTCACACTCGACGTGTGTATTTAGGTGCGTGCTGTCTCACGCCACATGAGGCTGATGACGTTAAAGGGTTACAACTACTGTAAACTAACCCGGAGCTCGTAGAGGAGACAGCTTTTCTTCTGCTTAAAGGCCGTCTCGGTGGCGATGCAGAAATCCCAGCCGGTGAAGATCTTGTTGCAAAAGCTCTGAAAACGATCTTCATCCTGGACCAAGCTGCGTTTGAAACCTGTAGCAGACCTAGAAGACGTAAAACACTTACAACTGTTGCAAACCGATACCGATGCAGGGCTAGGGTCATAATGCATACTAAACTCTAAACATGATCTGTGCAAAATATGGCTGTAACGTCTGTTTTAAGCAGAAATCTGGAGTCCTTTGTCAGAGAGCACCACCTAGAGGTGGGAAGAAGGAGTGCACCTTTAATCCCCTCTCCCTACTTCTGTGGTCGCTCAAAAGAAATGCTTCTTTTTGTGAACGCGCAGCTCTTGCCAGCCAGCACTGCTAAAACACATGGCTTGATCATTTTCTTCTTTTTCCTGTTTCAAACCAAAATATAATTTAAAAGCATTTTTTCAGATATTAAAGGAGCTTGCATTTACACTAGTAGGGTCTATGTTTATTGTTTGAAACTGTGCATCACTAAAACTTTTTTTTTTTTAAAAGCTTTGGGGGCAAATTTTCTTGAGCGATTAAAATCCAATTAATAAAGAATAATTAATCACAAAGTCTCTAATTAATATGATTAACTTTTTAAAGGAATCCGCTGCAGTTGTGGCTTGATTATAGCACCTCCTAGTGTAGTTTCTAATGCTCGACCTGCGTTCCTACCCTCACCTAGGGTCACAAGCTTTGGGTAGCGACAGAAAGAACGAGATCACAGATACGAGCGGCCGAAATGAGTTTCCTCCACAGGGTGGCTGGGCTCTCCCTTAGAGATAGGGTGAGAAGCTCAGAGTAGATTTTATCAATTTGTTATCTAATTAACTAAATATCTAACGAACGAACGAAGCTAGATCAGACAGACAGACAGACAGACAGACAGATAGACAGATAGATAGACAGACAGACAGACAGACAGACAGACAGACAGACAGACAGACAGATAGACAGATAGACAGATAGATAGATAGATAGATAGATAGATAGATAGATAGATAGATAGACAGACAGATAGATAGATAGATAGATAGATAGATAGATAGATAGATAGATAGATAGATAGATAGATAGATAGATAGATAGATAGATAGATAGATAGATAGATAGATAGATAGATAGACAGATAGACAGATAGATAGATAGACAGATAGATAGATAGATAGATAGATAGATAGATAGATAGAGGCATGCATGGTGGCACAGTGGTTAGCACTGTTGCCTCGCAGCACGAAGGTTGCAGGTTTGAAACTCGGCTACGGCCTTTCTGCGTGGAGTTGCGTGTTCTCCCCATGCATGCGTGGGTTTCCTCCGGGTACTCCGGTTTCCCCCACAGATCACAACATGCCCTATAGGTTATAAATTGTAAGTCGCTTTGGATAAAAGCGTCTGCTAAATAAATAAACAGACAGACAGACAGAGACAGTTGACAGACAGACAGATGAGAGACAGACACACAGACACACAGACGAGAGACAGACAGACAGACAGACAGACAGACAGATAGATAGATAGACAGACAGACAGACAGACAGGTTCATGCTCAAAAACAAGAGACATTGCTTCTAGCTGTGATCACAGAAGCTGAACACCTTCTCACCACTAGGGGGTGCCCTCTTAGAAAAATCTATGAATTTCCGTTTCAAACGATTAAAAACTGACTCTGATTATTTCTGATGCTACATTTAAATGCCAACATCGGACAACTCTACTTGACATTTTTAAACAGTTGTTGTGAGTTTGGCTGTTTTCTACCTTTTAACAATCCAGAGGAGGCTGAGGATGAGGTATGCTATCGTCACTAGCAGGTACGCCAGCGCCAGATTATAGGTTACGTGTGGGAAACTGATTTTCTGTGCTTTGTAGAACCCATAAAAAAGATACGTCTGTTCCAAAAAGCCCTGTGGGTTAAAGAGAGAAAGAATCAGTTCAGAAACGACGTGGAAGGATGTTTGTTGTGTGTCTAAATGAAACTGGGTGACTGTGCAGGAACATACTTCTCCAGAAAGCAGATCTGTAATGTACTGATGAAAGATGACCAGACCTCGACGAGCGCTGCTCGGATAGTTACTGCAGATACTTCCTGCAGTTCAGAGAAAGACCAGCTTGAAGCATTTCTTTGGTTTCGGCTTTGAAGTAAAACGTGTTCTTACCGTCGCTCTGGTTGTAAGTGATGTTTCCTGAAGCAGAACGGACGACGATGAGGGGCACCATGACAAAACCAAAAATGAGAAGAAAAATGACCAAGTTGAGCATGACCAGGAAGCGCAGGAAGGAGAAGTAGGACAGGATTCCTGTTCCAAACCTTCCTAAAACCAGCAAAAAGAAGCAATGAGGAGACAATTAAACTAAGAGAGAAAACACCACACCTGTACGGTTGTCTTCTTTTCCTTTACCCTCTATCTGGTGGATGTCTCCCCTCCAGAGCTGCAGAGACCTTCGCAGCTCTCGATAATCTTCCCACAGCCTCCTCAGATGTCTCCGACTGTTCTGACTCCACTGTCTCCAGCTGTCCAGATCTTCGTTCTTTTTCAATCGCTGTGCCCTAATTAGAGAAACAAAGGGTTTTGCATTAATAACGCTCACTAATAAACAAATAAAGGATCAAAGTCCGGTCTGCAGAAATAACGTTTCCTACTTCTCTTGACGTTTCTCATTCACCGTCTTGGGTAGTTCCCTGATGGGTCGCTGCTCCATCAGAGTCTTCTGCTTCTCCGCCTGTCTGCTGATGGTCCCTGGAGCCCATTTGCCACTGCCAGACGAGCTGAGCCTTGGTCTTGAGCTATTCTTCCGTTTGGAGCCATTGCCCGAGGACCTCCTTTGGTACAGGAGGGACTGGTAGCTCGGGAGCTGGTCCAGCAAGATGTTACTGGCGATGCGTCCACTGTGATCAGTGAAGAACACTAGAAAAGAGAAAAAAACATTGTAATATTATTAGAATGAATGCACCAGGATGAATGGATGAATGATGTAGTTGTTGTTCTTGTTATCTACTCAAATTCCTTCATGTATTTAATAAAGTGCTGTTTTATTAATAAAAGGAAGCACCCATTGTTTGTTTTCATAACATCATTGTTGATTAGAACTAAATAAATGCCTGCATAATAATTTTTAGTGCCATGCAAGGGAAACCTGGGAGGATTTTACAGTCGGAGTCATCCTTACTCCTTCTTTAGGTGTCGCCTGAGCCAACCATCTCCATCTCCTGCACTTTCCCACCAGTTAGTTTCACTGCATCCATAAACTTTGGTCTTCCACGAGGTCTCCTGCCTGGCAGGCCCAATCTAAGCATCCTTCTACGGATCCCCCCTCTCCACACACCTAAACCACCTCTGATTTTATCTCCAAACATGAGCCGTTCATCTGACGGACTCATTCATGATCCTATCCATCCTGGTCACTCCCAAAGGGCACGAGTTCTGCTACCTCCAGTCTTCTGAGCCACTGTTTCTAGACCAAACAGCCTCACCGGCCTAGTAGAAACTCTTTCATCATGAATCACACCTGGCACGTTTCTCCATCTGCTCCAACCTGCCTTCTTTACTTCAGAGTCCATCAGTCGTCCGGTCCATCACCATGGTGCCCGAGAAGAGGCTCAGAGCTGATCCCTCCTCCATAACGCCTATCCTGGTTATCATAACCCGACTGTACCTTCCAGAAAGACTTTGTGCTCTACTTTATAACTCACACGTCAAATAATAGCAATTATCAAACGGTCAGTCTACATTTTTTATTAAAAAGGAATAAAAATGACGGAAGACATGTTTTATCTGACTCATTTCTCTCTAAACTACTCCGGAATGCTACTAGCTAACAACAGCAGAGGCAGAATTAAGGTTAACAAACCCAAAAATAAAGTCAGAACTAATAGAGACAAGACACAAACACACCCAAATCTTCAATCATTAACAAAGCAGGACGAACACAACCTGCTGTTTGCTCGTTTCGGCGCTAGCAGCAGTTTTAGCAAAAAAAAGTTAACGACTTAGAAAAGTTAGCTTCAAAATTAATTACCTGAATCGATTTCCATTGTTGTTTATTCCAAAGCCACTAATATTAACAGAAAGTGTGTTGTAAACGAGTGCGGCGCTGCTAGGTAAATATTAACTAGCAGGCTTCTACAAATACTCAATAATACATGGGAGGTGACTGACTGTACAGTCCAGAAGACAAACAACTTTTCCACAGAGGGAGGCTACTTCCGGAATGTGGATCCAGCTTCAGGCAAGTATGGAAGCCCGTTGGTGCCTCTTTTAACTGTTCCAAAAAACATCTAACAAAAATACTACCACTACACTACTACTACTACTACTACTACTACTACTACTAATAATAATAATAATAATAATAATAATAATAATTGTACTAACAAAATACTACTACTTACTACTACTACTACTACTACTACTACTACTACTACTAATAATAATAATAATAATAATAATAATACTAATAATAATAATAAAACAATAACAGTACTAACAAAAATTAAACTCCTAAAAACTACTCCTACTAGTAGTACTACTAATAATAATAGTACTAACAAAAATATTTTATTTTTATGTATTTTTTATTTATTTTTTTTTTTTACCGTGTCCTGTCTGGCTGTGAAGCAAACAGAACTGATGTCTGAATGCTGGTGACAAGCCTTACAGATTTACTCTCAGGTGGGGCATCAAAGCGTCTGCTTTTAATGTCACGCCTGATACTTAAAACTTTATTGTTATTGTTTTTGAATGCTTTTTAATTCCGACCAGACACGGAGACAGAGGTGAAAGAGAAAGGAAAAGACAAAAGTCGGGAGAGAGGGGGGAAGGGGGGGGTCACAAAAACAAACAATAATGAACAAGAGTCTGTTTCTAGACCTGCAGAAAGAGAAAGAAGAGGGAAAAAATGGGACACACAACAATACATCAGGAGCAAGCTATCACTGCGTCAACTTGACGAAATATACAATCAGCATTGTTTAACTGAACAGCATGATAATAAATCACAGTGCATTTAGTGGCAACGATATTTGTTGAACGTGCCCAAGCCCATACATGTGAGCACCTGTGTGTGTACACGCACTTGTTTATGTAAATAGTAAATGGTAAATGGCCTGTATTTGATATAGCGCCTTCTAGAGTCCTGGAACCCCCCAAGGCGCTTTACAACACACTCAGTCATTCACCCATTCACACACACATGCACACACTGGTGGGGATTAGCTACGATGTAGCCACAGCTGCCCTGGGGCGCACTGACAGAGGCGAGGCTGCCGAGCACTGGCGCCACCGGTCCCTCCGACCACCACCAGCAGGCAAGGTGGGTTAAGTGTCTTGCCCAAGGACACAACAACAGCGACAGACTGAGCGGGGCTCAAACCTGCAACCTTCTGATTACGGGGCGAGCACTTAACTCCTGTGCCACCATCGCTTCTCTATAAAAGCGTCCAATAGAGAGTGTGAGGGACCACAGATCTGCCCCCCAAAGATGTGTAGGAGACTGAGGGAGATCCAAGTCCCAGAGATCCAGGCGCTGCCCCAGAACACAGGAACCCCAAGGAGACTGCAACCAGAAAGGCCCCCACCCCCCTTGAGAGGCACAGAGGATCGCCCCGGGGGGCCACAACCCAGGAGATATCAGCGGCAAGCTCACAGGCCCACCCGCAGCCTCCCCCCCCCGGCCGAGCCCGGGACCCAATGACCCGGGACCCAGGGGCGACCACCCCCGCCGGGGACCCACCAGAGCCCAAGGACCCAGACCCCACCAGACAGCCACCGGGAATGATCAGGCAGACACCAAAAATCTTAAACCCTCTGACCCGGGAGCCACGAACATTCAGGCAGACCAAGGCACGGCACTCCACACCAGGTGTGGTAGTGGGAGGAGAGACGAAGATCTGTATCATCAATAGAAGTCCCAGGAGAAGGGAGGAGTCAAAGGCCCCACCTGACATAAACAGTCATACACAAACACAGTCATACACTCCCTCCCTCATGCACACACATACACATACAACCAAACACTTACAAAAATGCACGCCGGACACCCACTCATGCTCCCCATAAACACACCCTATTCACTCTGGTCCCGATATTGCTGCACATGGGGCACAACCATTACCGGTTCCCAGAGTTAGACCCTTTCTGCTGGGGTGTAAATGAGCAGGCTCCCCCGCCCAATGCTGAGCACAGCAACCCACCACCCCCGACTCCAACCAGACAGCCAGATCTCCCTCCTCCTAGCCTCCAGCCCCAGGAAGCCAAGCAACAACAGAGGTGTGCTAAAACCCCTAGTCTCCCTCCGCATGCTCCAATATGGTGTTAGTGTGTGTTGATGAGGTGTATTCCATAGCTGTGGTGAGTGGGCAGTGCGAGCATTGTCTGGCCTATGTAGGGCTGCAACAACGAATCGATGAATTCGATGAAAATCGATTACTAAAAGCGTTGGCAACGAATTGCGTCATCGATTCGTTGTGTCGCACAACTCTTCCAAAAGCGCCCCCCCCCCCCCCTCCCGCCCACCGTTGCGCGCAGACCAGAGCAAGTCAGATCAGCGCGAGGGAGAGCCGCAGATCAGCGCGAGGGAGAGCCGCAGATCAGCGCGAGGGAGAGCCGGTACAGGCAGATCAGCGCGAGGGAGAGCCTGCAGACTTGCGCTGCTGCGAACCGGTTCCGCATTGTTGCACAGCGATCCAGGCAGCTGCTTCCAGCGCACGGTCCATTCTCAAAGTGGCGCAACCAAAAAACTATAATTAGCACACGATCGTTCTTGTCTGCACATGTTCTCTATTTTCTGTCTTATTTGTGCCTGAAGCTCGCTACTGTGGAGCTCATCACCTGTGCTGTGGTGATTTCACCTCACGCAGCATCGAAAACGCGCTCTCCGCTTTGCGGTCAGGAGATCTCTTTGATCTGCTCAAAAGTAACTGATGAGGTGAAAAAGTAAGAATCCAGGCAACAGATTTTCTGGAGAATTATGAGGAGATGCAGGAAGATGAGAGACAGACAGGACAGGAAAATAGTTAAATAAAAACAAGAAAACAAAGTAAAATGTAGGTAGATTTATCTCCACTACACGTTTTTACCAGTAAAAAACAATAAGTTATACACATGTCATAGTTATACATCTGATACAATTCAGATCACCTTCAAAACTCAGTCACACACCCAGGGCCGTTTCAAGACATTTTGGGGGCCAAGGCAAAATGTCCCCCCCCCCCCCCCCCCCCCCATAACTGGGCTCCCCAGAAGCCTCTGTGTAATTGATGCCCTCTCCAGGAGTATTAGTTATACAGTGTTTGTAAAAGCCCCTCAGACATTACTGACATGTTCTAATATATCAGATGAAAAACTAAATTATAAGACATGCTGTCTCATCAGCTTCTTTTCTAAACTTGCAAAAAGTAACAAAACCATTTGAAAGCCACTATTTGTGGATTATCTGAAAGTTTCCATGGAGTGTGTGACAACTTATTTTATCATTGATCCTATCGTCTAATCTCACAGCTGAAACAAGCATCCTTAATAATCTGTGCACAGGAAGCTTACCGATGCTGTAGTAAAACAAAAGGTATAATAATTTATTATTAATAAAACCTTGTTGCAGCACTAAAGCATAAAAATGAGATTTTGCATTAAATATGCAAAATATTTACATATGAATTGTTTTAGAGCCCTTTTATTGGCAGAATCTGATATTAATTTAGTTCTTACAAAAAATGGGTCCCAACATGGTTTGTGTGGTGTTGCCATAGTGTGACATCATAGGCACAGATCCACTGTCCTCTTGTTTGGAAATGGAAATATGGTCACCCTACATTAAACAAACTGTCCACCCGGGCTTTTGCGCTGCACAGAGACGCTTCGCTGCCTACGACTGAACGTCAGTTGAGAGTCAGTCTCATGCAGACTGACCAATGAAGAGAGGGCCTCAAGTTAAGACCCTCTCCTCATTGGTCAGTCCACACGAGGTGGGTCAAAGGTTACTCTGGGCGGGTTACGTGTTGTCAGGCATTCAATATTGAGTATATTTACTGCATATTACAGTAAAATATTCTGTATGTGACCACATTATGGTGATCCTCGGGTCGTGATGATGGAGCCCTTGAATATTGTTGCCCAGGGTACAACAAAGTGTTAATCTGGCCCTGGTTCCGCCGTCACATTCCCGCAGAAACTGGTTGATCACACCGGGGCCAGACTACTAGCATGTGGTTTTACAACCACAATGTCCTCGGAAGCAAAAACGCTTTTAAAAGGGAGGGAGGAGTCCTAACTGTTGCTGCAGGCGTGTTGTGTGAGAGTGCAGTTATATACTGGTTAATATATTTTTGGGTTCAGTTGCTTTCTTGTGGCCTAATGTGAGTCTATTTGGGATCATTGGAATGATCAGCAGCATTTCTTGATGTGACTTTATGGCAGTTGCCCAGGGCATCATCGCAAGGAGAATGGCATTCATTTACTTTTGTTTTATTTGGTATTTTTTCAGTCATTTTTGGAAATAGTGATCAATTTTGATTAATTCACAGCCTATGTTTAATTACATTTAAAATAAATGTCAACAGATGAGATCAAACAAAACAGATGAGAATTGCCCTTAAGCTGTTTAACTTGGACCAAGCATTTTAGGTCACAGATAGATGTAGCTTAGGGTCTCTGTCTATACACCTTATAAGACAATTTAGGTGATGGCATGTTGTTTTTCTGCTATTGAACTGTTTTCTAATAATGTTGTGTTAAATAAAGTGAAGGAAGGAGAGAAATAACGTTTCCCTAGCAGTTTTTAAAAATTTCCCCATGTAATTCGATTAATCGATTAATCGTGTCGAGACCCCATCCGATTAATCGATTATCCAAATAATCGTTTGTTGCAGCCCTAGGCCTATGCCAGCTGATGCCACCGCACCACCCCACTTGCACCCACAGCCCACAGTGTCTAAGTGCAGTTTAAAAGTGGAAGTGGGCACCGGCACTCAGGATGAGGCTGAGAAATCCCCCTGCCAACTGCCGTTGAATGTGCTCACTCCCAAGGCCCTAAGTGTGTGTTTGCGTGGGATATCATTGGTGGGAGTGTTTAAGGTGCAAATAAAATTGGGGGGCAGGTTGCCACAGGAATGCGGAAATGGGGTCCATACCCGCACCCCCTGACATGTCCACCCCCCAAGGACCTATGTGCATGTTTGTGTGATGATGTGAGGGAGCAGGAGGAGAAAAACATGCGGGGATGGGGAGGAATGGCTGGTTGGGCTTAGCCCTCCAGGGAGCCAGCTCCCCCACTGGCCCCAATAGACACCTCTGTTGTCAAAATGCCACCCAGGGCATGGAAACCCCAGCCCATCTTGCCAGGGCCCAAAGCAGCAGCATTGCAGAGCCTCACGGAGTCCGAGGGCACCAACCCAGCCCCACCCCAGCATAATGTCTACGCCCATCCCGGCATTTGCACAACTTCCAGAATATGTAAGACATAGGACATCCAGGTAAGGTTGGGTCCTCCCCCTCCTGGACCTCCCCCTCCCCTGTGATGGGACAGCAGAGGAGCCAAGGTCTACCTGAGGCCCCTGAACCCGGGCCAGGCACTGCTGCATGTTCCTGCCTTCTTCCCGGCAGCATACACGTCAGGACCCGACCCCCAAGGCCCTGCCCAGATCGCCACACAGGGCCAGCCACCCCCACACCCCGAGCCCCCAGGCCCCCACCCAGGGGCAATGCGGCTGCCAGGCAGCGACCCATGGCCGCCGCCAAGACCTCCAAGGGGCCCCACTCACAAATGCCAGTAGTCTCTACCCCCCGAGGCAACCGAAGCACCTCCAGAGGGGGGCAACAGCCCCCCAGTCCCAGACACCCCCAGTGAACCCACCTCCAGGGAACATCCGAATACTCCAAACTCAGACCCTCCACCCCCTCACCCACATCATCCCGCAGGACAATATCAATGGTCTCCCGTCATCGCTATGTGATAGAACCAATCAAAGGAGTCCAGAGAGATTGATTTGAAGTGGAAGCAGAGGCTGTTTCAAGTGTAATATGATCTAACAAAAGATTTCTATTGGTTAATGCAGAGAGTTTCTCTATTTTTCCAATTCAAGAGGATAGTTTTCTTAGCGATGCATATGGCAGTCAGAACCACGTGAACCAAAGATGTTTCAATCGGGACATCATCCAGGTTTCCCAGTAAACAAAGAGATGGGGAAGTTGGGATATGACATTTCAGACACTTTAACAGGTCTTCACATACTCTACTTCAAAATTCCTGGACAGGTGGACAGGACCACAGTGCGTGAATGTAATTGTCAGGAATGTTGTTTGTGCAGTGTGTACAGGTGTCAGATGACACAAACCCCTACAGGTGTCAGATGACACAAACCCCTACAACTAACAAAAATACTACTACTATGTACTTCTGCTACTACTACTACTACTACTACTACTACTACTACTACTACTACTAATAATAATAATAATAATAATAATAATAATAATAATAGTATTAACAAAAATAACTACTAATGATAATAATAATAATAATAATAATAATAATAATAATAATAATAATAATAATAACAGTACTAACAACAACACTACTACCACTACTTCTACTAATAGTAATAATAGTACTAACAATAATATTTTTATTACTACTACCACTACTACTACTACTACCACTACTAAATAAAACAATAAAAACAATAATAATAATAATAATAATGATAATAATAATAATATTTATAATAATAAAAATAATAATACGACTACTACTACTACTACTACTACTACTCTCAAAACCTTTATAAGACCTTAGATTGATAAATAAGAGTTAAAAAATAGTTGTAGTAACATAAACCCTCTCACTGAAAGAAACTGACAACTCATTGGATAATTTTGGCATACAGACTCATCATTTTAATTTTTAATATACATTTGTACATTTTGTTCATTGTTAACAAAGAGCTGAATGTAAATCTCTCTCTCTCTCTCTCTCTCTCTCTCTCTCTCTCTCTCTCTCTCTCTCTCTCTGCATATATACATAAAACATAAGTAAAACATAAATACGTTTTGACAAGCTAGTAAAATGTTCTATGGAATTTTTTTAAGCCACAATTAAAATTGAGAGATTTGAGTTATTTTGGGAGCCTGAAGTTCAACTCGTCTGCAAGGCCAACACAGGGGGCCATCGGCTGGCACACTGCTGCTAACCACTTAAACATTCTCCCTCTCCTGATAATAACATTTTACTCTCTTTGACATTGGATGTGCTACTACTAGTTTACCCGTTTAATTATAGATTCACTAGGATAAATACAATAAAGTTTATCCCTCACCAAATAGAATATTTACTAAGAAATCACAATGTAACCATCGAAACATTGCTTGGTATATGTGTTGTGTGTGTGTGTGCGTGCGTGCGTGTGTGTGCGTGCGTGCGTGTGTGTGTGTGTGTGTGCTCTGTTTTCTCCATCCCCAGTGAGTCGTGGTGGATGGCTGCTTATACTGAGCCAGCATCCTCTGGAGGTTTCTTCCTGTTAAAAGGGAGTTTTCCTCTCCACTGTCGCTGCATGCTTGCTTAGTATGAGGATTGCTGTAAAGACTCTGACACTAGTCAGTGACTCGATTCAACCTGCTGGGTTCCTTATATAGGAAACTTGTTACTGATTGGTTTAATGACCTAACCTGTACTGTTTACTGTGTGAAGGTCCTTGAGACGACTCCGGTCCTGATTTGGCGCTTTATAAATAAACCGAATTGAATAGAATTATTAATCAGCAGTAGAGGTAGAGCAGGTCATCCAATCATACGGGGTGTTGGAAGTATGAACCCTGCTCCATCCAAGCTACTTAACCAGGATGCTCTTGAGCATGCAGGGTTGGTACGTCACATATATTATTTCATTTAATCATTGATTTGAACTCACTATCTTTGTGATTTCAGGCATCTTGTGTCATGACCTAATTTTTAAAAGTACTTCCTTCTGTGTGGTAAATTATTTGTTTTCCAAGGATGTGTTTATAGACGGATGTAAAAGTATTCAGTCAGGATTTAATCACCTAGATCTCGGAGTACAGCCTTGTATCTTAATAAAGATTACATTTAGATGTTGCCCAACGTGATTTATTTTTGTTTCACAACAGAAAGTGTCCTCTCTCGGCCTGCTGGGCTACATTAGAAGCAATGGACTTTTACCCACCAGCAGCACTTCCTGGTAGGAAAAGAATGATTGTTTTATGTTAGGGACACGCTCTCACACAGACACTCACAGGCTCGGCTGCATGGACTGCAGACGTTTTTACTGCATTAAATCTTATTAAGGTGAGCAATGTCTTTGTTACTAAATTCATTAGTGGTGGGAAACAAGTTTATGAGAACATGTCAGCGATACAGTTGTGTGTTTTTATTTATTAGAATTTTTTGTCACTTTTCCATTTTGTTGAACTTTCCTGGATTTGTGTGAGAACCACAGAATTGTCTTTGCTGCGACGTCCGTCAGGAACCAAACCTCCTGAATGAATTAATGATGAGTAGAGGTGGATCAGAGAAAGAGATGGAGTTACCCTCGCTTCCCCCCCAACAATAGCTGTCACTCTACCCAAAACCTTTTGACGTGAGACGAGGCGTGTTTGGGTTGGGAGGGCTGAGCAGAACCTCAAACACAACAGATTATTCATTAGATCTTTCCTTGTTCGCTTTTTTAGGACATCATCAAATCTCAACGTTTGAAGAACAAAAGGATCACATTTGAAGGATCTCATGACAAGTTCCAGCAGCGGAGGAGTTTTTAACCCGGCGTACCATGACAGCGAGACGCTGGAAGTGGATAGACGAGATAAAAGGTTTGAGTTCTGCTGAATTATTGTTACCTGAAACGTTGGAACAATTCATCCAAGAATGTTTCATCTTTTTATTACAGCTCTTAGAGGCTGACATCATGCTCCAAATGACTTATGGGAACAGGAGCTTTGGTTTCATCTACGCAGCACTTCAATAGTTTTGTGTTCTTAAAAGAAATCTTTGGAATAAACATTCACACAGCAGCTGAATGAAGGAATATAGACGTTGAAACTTGTCAAATTCATTATTTACATTGGGGGGGGGGGGGGGGGGGGGGGCAGAATAGGATAAAATCCTTATATGGGAGGGGCCACAGGGGCATTGGCCCCCTGAAGTGCCCCTGTCACTCATCTGTACTTCTTGAAAAGATCTGATTATAGGTGGGTGCAGTTCCATGTACAAACACTAGGGGTGCTGATGAGCCACATAGGAATTTCTAGCGTGAAATCTCGTGTAAAGCCTGGTTTATTCTTCTCCGTGAGCTCTCCAAAAGCGAGAAGCACTCGAGTGTCGGAAAGGTTTTTGCATGCGAATTTCTGCGCAGACCGCGGAGTGTTGCAATGCAGTTCTCCGCCAGGACAGTTGAGGGCGTAGCGCTGTTCTGTGGTATCCTGCGACCAGAACACTCGTCTCCCGTCCCCAATAGTGTGTTCACTAATGTGTCTATATATTTCAGTCTTTATAACATCCTTCATTCTCCTCCACCTCTTCATGCGGTCGCCACCTCTAAACCCACTTTTCCCGCCATTTCCGTCCACATTTGCTCCATATTTTGTACTCTTTCAGTCACGGGTGAATAAACGTTCATATATTCGGACTTTTTACGCCATGCGTTCTTCAATCTGCTCCGGGTCTGCCGCTATATATCTGTTTACTTTTAAACGGGGCAACAGCGGTGCTGGTGACGAGCATGCAGGAACCGGCATCCTGACCGATCACAAGCTTGTGGTCTCTGTCACAAAATCCAATTTGAATAAATCATTCGGTCATAAACCATAAATCTTCCGTTTATTCAGAGCAAATTTAATCTGGTTCACCCTTGCAGACCTGCCGGCTCTGCACCCTCCTGTGTGTACAGGCACTGGTGTCTATGCGGCTCAGCACTGCCCCTATCAGTGAGGTGGGGTACTGCCTGCCTCCCCCAGCGCATTTTCACTCCGTGTTCCTAGCCGCTATTTGTCACACACGGTCATTATTTATAAGTATCAGACAGAATGTCATCATATGAAGCACATGTGGAATAAAACACATTTATAGGCGACATACAGACAGACAGCAGTGAGCATGCACCAACTTCCGGTTTCAGGGAGTGTGTGCGGCACGTCTTTCTTTCTCCTCTCGCTTCTGCATGAATATTTGATCAGGAAACGGGTTTATTCAGCGATTTTGATCATAAAGACGATGAAATCAAACAGAAAACTAATGGACACACTGGCTTTCTAATAAATCATTATTAGTATTTTATTTGTGACAATGACAAGGGAGGCAGGGCTTCCCCTGCCTCCTCTGACCGGACGTGACTGAGTGCTACTTCTACTACTACTCTACTACTCTACTACTACTCTACTACTCTACTACTACTGATACTACTACTCTACTACTCTACTACTACTACTTCTACTGTTACTACTACTCTACTACTCTACTACTACTTCTGATACTACTACTACTACTGATACTACTACCCTACTACTCTACTACTACTACTACTACTACTACTACTACTACTACTACTACTACTACTATTACTACTACTACAGATACTACTACTCTACTACTCTACTACCACTACTACTACTACTACGACTACTACTGATACTACTACTCTACTACTACTACTACTACTACTACTGATACTACTACTCTACTACTCTACTACTACTACTTCTACTACTACTCTACTACTACTACTACTACTACTGATACTACTACTACTCTACTACTACTACTACTACTGATACTACTACTCTACTACTCTACTACTACTACTACTACTACTACTACTACTACTACTACTACTACTATTACTACTACTACAGATACTACTACTCTACTACTCTACTACCACTACTACTACTACTACGACTACTACTGATACTACTACTCTACTACTACTACTACTACTGATACTACTACTCTACTACTCTACTACTACTACTTCTACTACTACTCTACTACTACTACTACTACTACTACTGATACTACTACTACTCTACTACTACTACTACTACTGATACTACTACTCTACTACTCTACTACTACTACTACTACTACTACTACTGATACTACTACTCTATTACTACTTCTGATACTACTACTCTACTACTCTACTACTACTGATACTACTACTCTTCTACTGTACTACTCTACTACTCTACTACTACTACTACTACTCTACTACTCTACTACTACTGATACTACTACTCTACTACTCTACTACTACTACTTCTACTGTTACTACTACTCTACTACTCTACTACTACTACTGATACTACTACTGATACTACTACTCTACTACTCTACTACTCTACTACTACTACTACTTCTACTGTTACTACTACTCTACTACTCTACTACTACTACTGATACTACTACTACTACTACTACTACTACTACTCTACTACTTTACTACTACTCTACTTCTACTCCTACTACTACTCTACTACTACTACCCTACTACTACTACTCTACTACTACTACTACTACTACTACTACTCTACTACTCTACTACTACTACTACTACCCTACTATTACTACTCTACTACTCTACTACTACTACTACTCTACTACTTTACTACTACTGCTCTACTATTCTACTACTACTCCTACTACTACTGCCCTACTACTACTACTACTCTACTACTACTACTACTACTATTACTACTACTACTACTACTACTCTACTACTCTACTACTACGACTACTACTACTACTACTACTATTACTACTACTACTAATAATAATAATAACTTTATGCTGTTTTCATTCAGACATCGTCATATTTTCTAGTCCTTCAGTGTGTGCTTCAAAACACTTTTACAGCTTCTTTGTAAATCTGACTAATAAACACGATCAGTTTAAATTCACTTCTTGGGTTAATGACTCTGCTGCTCATTTTATCATGAATACAGATCCTTCAACGGGAATTTCCTTTTTCTCTGACCTCTAGGTCCTGGACCCACCACACTAATCCCTATGCTGGAGAAGATCCAGCTTGGTGGGCTGAGAGAGATGATGCTGAGCCGGGAGCATCGAGTGGAGGCTGGAGGGGGGGAGAAAGCTTCTCCATGGGCCTCTTCAGCACAAGTTCCGGGACGAATTCATGGCAGCATGACGCCAGTGAGTGGATTTACTGTCATCTTCTCCCCTGAACATGGGGGAGACTCTCATCAAAGATCTGTTCAGGTGGAAATGCTTTGAAACCTAAAATCTAACCTGAGAAGGCTCTTTGATGGTCTGATTGGTAGCACTGTAGCTATAGACTGTTAACTCTAAGCTATTGCTTTCAAACTGGCATCATGGCGGAGCCTGGAATCAGGAGGAAAAGAGTAAAGCATGAACTAGCCAACGAGCTAACATCAGAGGGCAGGGCCTACACTCACTGGTTTCAGTTTCAGTCTATCTAAACAAACAAGTAGCGAGCAAAGTACGAATGTTTTCCTTTGCTTCTGAAACGCCGAGTCATGTGTTCATAAAACATGCAAAACATCCAACACCTGTCCGACATCAGGGGTTACCACAGCTGGATTTCCTCCCCAGTTGGGAGAGAAGCGGGAAACTTAGCGTTACTTTAAAACATTCATAGATGACTGATGACTGATAACAGCTTCAGCGTTACGGCTGATGCTGCTTCACATGCTCAGTGTTTCATCGGTCTGTTAAAAGATCTGGAGGCTTTGTTCAGGTCCAGTTTGCAACAGACCATAAAACCAAATGTAAAAATGTTAGCAAACACTCTGATTCATGAGATGTGTGAAGGAGTTATCAGGTAGAAGTTTCGTAGGTAAGTGTTAGCGCAGAACGTCCGTGCTAATTGTGCTGATGGTTAGGGCTAGGGTTTATCAACTTCCTGTAGTAACACAATCCATTTCTGAAACGTGTTCAAATCTGCTTGGAAAGGATGAAGAGCGTGTTGTAATGGCGACTCCTTTAGCTGGTGGTGTTTCATCGAACAGGCCCTGTTGTATCTGTGTTGCTAAGCGACCTCATAGTTGGTGTTTGCTCCTCATCTTCTCTCATCTAAACACTCAGATCCCCACACGCCTGATTCCAGCTCCCACTACCGATCAGCTGCCGGACTTCCCTCTTTGATGACAGGTAGTTAACGAACCCTTTTACTCCATTGTTCTCCATCTGCTCCTTCAACGGCGCTTTACCTTTTACCTTGCTGTGACATCATTGCTGAGTGTAGATAAAAGACAGGCTTGGGTTGGGAATTCATAGATAATCATTAACGGGTCGAGACAAGAAGAACACAGAGAAGGAACAAGGCAAAGAAAATCAAACAGAGGGAAATTCACCTTTGGCTGAAGGGAACAATTAAGCTGAGGACTGCTTTCCTACGGCATATGCGGATGTATTTATTTGATGAACAATGAAAAACTAAAGATTTATCATTAATGACATTCGTCATCACCACAGCACGAACTGTGATCATCTGTCGGCCATTTTTATTCCACATTCAGAGTTACCAATGAAAAGAAATTATTTCCTGTTTCTTTGGGAAAACATGATTTACATTTGTTTGTTTTTTCCTGACGTTTTCAGTTAAATATAATCAATATTTTAGCTCATTTTTGAAGAAATTTGCTCAAATATTCACAACAGTTTAAGAATCCATTTATTTCTTTGCCACTTAACCATTGATTAATTTATCTGACATTAAAGTCTCAGCTGTTAATTTAAATAGAAAACAAGCCTGACTTTGATGCTCTGGATGTTTTTGACAGATCATGAAGAATCTGTTTCTACATGAAATTTATTAATAGTAATGATAAATATCGCTGCTCCTCCACATCGAGAGGAGCCAGTTGAGGTGGCTCGGGCATCTGGTCAGGATGCCTCCTGGACACCTCCCTGGTGAGGTTTTCCGGGCATGTCCAACTGGGAAGAGGCCTAAAGGTAGACCCAGGACAAGGTGGAGGGACTATGTCTCTCAGCTGGCCAGGGAACGCCTTGGGATTCCCCCGGAGGAGCTGGCCCAAGTGGCTGGGGAGAGTGAAGT